TTGTTATTATTGTTTTTTTTTTTTACGTGAGAGTTAGGATCTTGGATGCGTCGGAATCGTGCGTGGCGCGTGTGCGCAATGGGTGATGTTTTATTTTTTTATTTCCATTCTACGTGACTTTACCGAAAGAACCAAGAAAATGTGTGTATAGCGTGTGAGAGGGGTTTAAACTCGCGTGCGTCGCAAGCGTGACGCGTGGGGCTCGCTGGCCCTGCGAGTGTGGAGCAGCGCTGGTTGGTGAGAGGTCGTTCGTGTTCCCCGTTCAGAGTCCAACTCAGGGTATAGGCAAGCACTGGGACCTGCGCTCTTGGCTGGAGGGGCGCTGCCCATGGTGCTGGTCATTTTGGCCGTGTACGCCTACAAGTAAGGACGTGTACATTCACGCCAAAAAAAATGTGTGCATTCACCTCGCGTAAATTGTTGCGCGCTGTGCTATTTAGGCTGTATGTGCAAACCCCAAAAACGAGACGGCTCTGGTAGCTACACGCCTAGGTTATGTGTACCGGGATGTCCCACATGAATGTCGAGCTCTTGCCAAAGAGCCTATTCCGCACACTCGCATTTGAGTTATATTATCGCATTGATATTTTATAGGATTTGCATTGCAACAGAAACAACAGACAAGGACCCACATCACACTAATGTTCGAGAGCTTGGGGCACACAACGCTTTCGTGTGTCGCTACTGGAGAGCTGTGTGTTTCAATTGTCTTTTTCTCACAAACAACTAAACACATTCATCAATAACACTGCCTTACAACGAAAAGTACATAATAGGTGATATTTTGGGCAATTACCCTTATTCATAGCACATAAATATCACGTAAATAGATTAGAAAGGCTTCTCTAAAATGTTGCTTATTATATAGCTTTACATATAGGTCTAGAATTTCACTCAGGTCACAGTGTTGAACAGTGCACCGCATGAACCAATGCCTCACCATTTATTCCACTCATCATAAAGTAACCAATTCAGATGAGATACAGGGCTGGTTTCAGTATGCACATGCTACGTTGGATACCAATATCATACAGAGCGGCGTTTGGTGAGTGAATAATTTTACTATGGGTCGGGTAACCCATGCTGCGTTAAGGGCAAAGCTGCAAGAATGATCAATTATGCGCATGGCACAATGATGCCCGTGTTGGATTTACACTCAAACACGGGACCGTTCCTCATCGGATCTCATCTCCAAAGGGCTTCATTATTCACGGAGTATTTCCCCGGTCACTCGTCGACTGGAGTGGGCACGCGACTCGTAGCCGCAGCCATACATGAGAGATTCTGGATGTTGTGTGACAGGCGTTGAAGTATTCTACGGGTCAATGCCATTCTGCTGCACATCCCTCTTACGTGTGTTTTCCGGTTGTACCAAGTGTTGTTGGGCATGAGCGAGCTCACATTCCTTTCAGTTCTGAAGCAAGCCCCCAGCACGTGGAGCGAAATGTTCAGACGCCATGCCGAGCGATACGTGGTACAACCTCAAAACGCATCGGGGAGCCAAAGCCCTCTCTTCTCCGTGCAGGCGGCGCCAACGACGGCGCTCGACGACGCTGCCCTGCAAGGTCAGGGCATACATGGCTCCGAGCAGTGCTCACTTCGCGACGCAGACGGACCGGGTGGTCAGCGGGAAAGCGTCGGCTGAGAACAATCCCCTGCTGGACGCGTACCGCCTCCGCCTCGTGTGATCGCGCTTGGGTCTCCTCGTCCGTGGGGGGCGGCGGGGGGGGGGGGGGGCAGACCGGACGTTTCTTGTTCTTTGTTTCTTTCGGTAAAGTCACGTAGATAGAAAAAAGACAGTGAATAAAATTAATAAAAAATGACAAAAAGAATAAAACCACTCATGTAGACTGTAGCCTGATTCTTAATCGGAGTGAGTGTACTGGCAATTTATAATGTAGACTGTAGCAATGGTTATTAAGCTGGGTGAGTGTACTGGCAGTCTATAATGTAGACTGTAGCCTGGTTCTTCTTGTTTTATTGTAAACCTCAGAATGAAAAAACAACAACATATGCTGCAGTACTGAGAGCATATCTCAGTTAATTGACCATATAGAGAGAGATTGGTCCCACTAGAGTTTTTCCATCTCTAGTTATGTCGATGCCTAGGGGCTATGAGATTAGGAATTTAAAAACCACCGAGTCTTCGCCCCCATACTTTAAATCGTGGTCTGCTCAGACAATATGCATTTAAGAATGAGTGTGAAAGTGCTACACCCTTACAGAGGCCTCCGAGATCACTCCGTGATATCCACTTCTGTGGGATGTTCTCGAACATGAAAGGTCACACTCATCTCTTAATAGATCCGAATAGATGCTGCATCTCATTATATAATACCGATAGCAACAAACAGTAAAAACATTTTGGGAAAATTACCCCCAAAAAATAAAAAAAGATAAGACTATTGTTTGTGATAAAATCCATAGAATGGCTATGTAGTGATCCAAAAATAAAATTGCTTAACGTGGATTTTTTTGAACTGTGGTGTCATTTTTACAAAGGTGAGTGTTTGGGTCAAATTTGTAATTGTTTGGGCTGGGGTTCAAATGTTAAGTCTTAGAGAAATGACTCCCTTGCAGCAACATCGTGACAAAAAATTTAACCCTAGAATTGTGTAATGCACAATTAGTTGAGCAATGGACTACTATAACGCAATACAAATGCAAAGATAGCAATTAAGATTCATGGTTGGGTTTTACAGCTGAAAGTAAATTGAAGAAATCACCATTGTCCCATTCGTGATAGCATATATTTGACAGAAAATTGGACGAAGATGTTTCGTTACAGCACACCTTCATGTAACTTGCTGAGTGGAAACAAATATTTGTTACGAAAGATTACGTTTTAACTCATGGGTTTCTTTCTGCAAACACTTTATTACACTTGCATCTGAATTGCTCCGTGATAAGTTATTAATATACTTGTACTGCAGTAGCCAGAAGACATGCTGTGCTTAGCACGAACCATACCCCCCTGTGTTGGCATGCAGTTGAGTGTTGCGCAGATGCAGAAGTATAAAATGGGTGCACCAAATTGTGCGGTGGGGTATCGTGGAGGTCCTCCCACCTATTCCAACACGTCTGGTTGAGTGTAAAAGAGGAGACCAAACATTTCCCTCAACATGAGCCCTCTGGAGCCCCATCTAATGGAGGTCTTCATGCCAACAAGTAATGTGAGCAAGACATTTGAAGGGTGACACGTTTACATATACTTTGGTATTATCACATTAATTCACCGCTTAAGCTTTGCTGTTTCAATTGGTACCGATGCCGGTTTAAGCCCATACGTTACGTGGGTCTGCTTTTTTTCATTATATTCATATAAACAGTTGAAAGCGCGTGATTGTTCAGTTGTTTTCATGATGCATGGGCAATGATAAAGCTTCTTTCAAAAATAAACCGTGACCCGAGAGCCCAAGGCGACTATATTTTGAGAGCGATTCACAATTGGTCATACCCAGACATCAGAGGCAAGATTTCCCGAAGCCTCCCGCATGACCACGATATAAACGCGCATCGTCCAATCGCTTAAAGACTATAGTCTTGCTAAATGTACGAACATAATGCGTGTTCTCCGCACCCAGCAATGGCAAATGGAAATAAGTGACTCAATTATCCTCGCTTTATTGGTGCTTAAATAATTGGTGAAATACTCATCTGCTTTAGCGCATTAACGTTTAATTTTAGAAATCCGGAATTAATTAGCTCTCTCTCCTGGTTATTACAGAAAGGACATGGATTGTAATTGAACGCACACCTGTGCACAGAAAGTCACAGCGTATTTGCGTGCATTGAAAAAATAGGGCCTTTTCTGAATGCAGACCATATACGGTTTCATGCGTTGTGTAATTATAAGAGTGATGGAAGATAATAAATAATCAAGCCTTGGGCAAATATTATATGAATTACCAAATAAATTCTCATTCACACGTACGTTCAACAAGTAGTGCAATTGTGTGTAGTGTTATTAAGAAAATTTAAATACAATACCAATAAAGTTATAATGGCAATACTCTTTTCATTAAGTATTATGGTTCACCTTTGACTGAGCTATGTGCCACCTTTATATACTGCTTCAAAATGTTATTTTTCATGGCATCGTTGAAGAAAACATGCTGTGATGTTTCCATCACTGACAATAAAGTAAATCGCCAAAAAGAATGCGTTCCTGCCTTTTTGTCAAGATAGGACTCTGGCCAGTAATGTCTTAATCAATACACCATACATTAACGACATAATTACTTTATTCATATATTACATAATGCTTAGAAATCGTAATATATACGGTAGTCTAAAACAGTCAAATGTACTCTATATTTTAAGTGCAATCACTTGAAACAAGTTTTTATTATAAAGTGAAGGTTATTTGTAAACATGTAGTACTATGCACCATTAATTTAACAAATTAAACTGAGTGACAAGCTCTTGTGATATTAAATATAACGGGATCGTTCATGAACATCGATTACAATTAAAATTAAAAATACTGAACCAACACCTTTTTTGTTTTTATTCTAAACACAAACATAGTTAAAGAGCAAAAGCAATGACTAAGGTAACAATTAGTGAGTTATTTTATCACCATAATTGTTGTTTTGATTGTGGTTAAATTAACAAATGTATTTTAAAAAAATCTATGTTGCTGATCCATTGCTCTATGACATGTAAATTAAAAGATGCTTCCTCATCGTCTGAAACTCCTTTCATACATGCTGTTAACTCCCTGATCCTATTCAAGTCCACGCCAAAGAGCTTCCACTTTTCCTCTGCTTATGACTCTGTTGCTTGTAAAAAAAATAAATCGAGATTCTGTACAGCACCTGAAAATGTGGTCACATTTAGACGAAATATTAATTCATAATTGCATAATATTAAATTTTGACTTAAAACTTTCGTGACTGCAGGAATTAATATCCTTTGGATCTTTCGGTAAAGTCACGTAGATAGAAAAAATAAAACAACACAAGCGATCGTCATCCTCCCGATGATGATCGCTTGTGTTGTGATCGAAACGTCGTAGTTTTTATTTACTTTTATTTTTTCTATCTACGTGACTTTACCGAAAAATCCAAAGAGTATTATCATATTACATTAACTTTACATGCTACTGCGGTGCTGCCAAGATAATATGCAGCATAGAACACAGGGGGTACCACCAAATTACACTCCTTTTTGCGCCGGCATGTCAAAGCAAGAAGTCATCCACATGCAGGTGGGTGTTTATACTGAATCTACCGATGAGCGTACTTCACCACCAACACCACCACCACTATCTGCTGTTGCGCCATCTTCCTTTACCCCATCACATCCAATATCCATAGCAGATGAAGACGAACAACTGCCTCTGCCTGCTCCGTCTCCTGACCCTTGCCCTCCGTCGGGGCTTTGCCGTCGAGGTGGCGAGCAGATCCGCGGGCCGAGCGCGCCGTGAGCGTAGGCCAGGAAGAGAGCGTGGCCCGTCACGACGAAGGCGACGGACAGCAGCACGAGCAGACCGAACGCCGGTGGTTCGGGCGCTAGCAGCACGGCCGTGAAGTGCAACAGGTCGAGCAGGTAGTTGAGCGAGCTCTGCACGCCGCTCACCACGCCGCGCTCGTGCTCCGCCACCGTCTCCTGGAGCAGCTGCGTCACCGTCAGGTCAAACGACCACAGCCCTGCCGAAAACGCCGAATGACTCGTGACAATGCAAAGGTAGATGTGTCGGCAATTGCCTTAACTGTTGAAGTCTGTTATGCGGTCAACTCCTCAGGTTCGGAAATGCTGTGTAGAGCTTGTAAGAGCATAGACATAGCGTCTTCACAATCGCTGTCCGAGGTTGTTTGTTTAATCAGGTAAGAACTCAAGAGAGCAGAATAGCCTTATTTGCGAAAGTGACCCAGGTCGTAAAAAAATTGAAAATCATGACTATAAAATGAAGCAGAACCATGACAAAACAAAATCAGAAGAAAAACAACTGAACAGAAATTAGAGCACAAAAAACATGCATTCGCTATAAGAATGTTGCGGATGCCAAATGTAGTTACTTTTAGTCATAAACGAGATACTCCCCCTGTTTTTTGCTATTTTTTGTAAAAACAATTATGAAAATTTCGATTTAAAGCTTTCGTGACTGCAGGGATTCATATTGTTGTTTCATTTTATTATTATTTTATTATTTCCCTTCTACGTGACTTTACCGAAAGAACCAAGAATTATGAAAATGTATTTTTCTGGGAAAGCCTCACATTATCTTAAGATTCTCAGGTGGCTCCTGCATGGAAATGTTTGGCCAATTCCATTCAAGGGTATTAGTGATATCACTCAAGTCTCATAATAACAAATGAGAGTGAAACCCCAGTAACATCGCAAGAATACTCCTCACTGTATTTTAAGTATTTTTCATCAATAATGAACGATCAAACTTATATTCAAACAGCCCAGTACAAACAGCTGGTATAGCTTCTAGAGAAGACCTGTTTGTCTTTTGAGATGTTATCATCCTTGACTGATCACGCTATTGCGGACTCACCGATTCGAGCCGCAATCACTCCAGTGAAGAGCAAGGCGACGGACACGTAGGAGTCTGGTGGCGCAAAATCCGGTTCATCATCCCACGTCGCATTGGACGCGACGCGACTCGACATCGTGGAAGCCACGAAGTCACTTCCATTGCGCTGCACGAGCGCATCCGTAGAATCCCCCGCCATGCCGACCCCGATCGAGCGGAACGGCGAGATCGACAGGTCGAACGGGCTGCCGGGTGCGAAGACGGACACGGCGCAGAGAGAAAGGGCCGCGAGCTGGGCCACGCCTGACAGGAGCCCTGTGCGCACCAGCCCCACGGCCCGACGCAGCTGAGTGAACACCACCGTGCCCAGGAGCCCGGCGACCGCCGACAGTGCTATGAGAATGCCGAGCAGCGAGGCAGAGATTCCCTGGGTATACGCGTAGCCCGTGGTGATGCAGTCGAAGCCCAGCACCGTCATGTAGAGGCAGGCTAGCCCCACACCGGCCAGGTACACGGGCTGCCGGCGGTACGTCACCCAGCCACGCCACAGCGTGCGGAATGGCTCCGTGACGTGAAGCCAGCGGCTTGTGGGCGCAGGCCGCTCCTCTTCCGCGCCCTTGCCGATGAGGGACTTGGCTTCAGCTGGGGCTCCTGTGAGTCAAATCAGCAACGTGTCGATCAGCTGCATGCATTCCGACCACTGAGGCTTGGTGTGGCATCCATCGTCCCAGCAACACGACGAGTCTGACCTGTCACGTCGGCCCCCAGTGGCTGCATCTCGAGTGCGGATGCCGGGGGCCACTCCGCGCCGGCCTTGTGTGCCAGGGCCGGCACGGCGAGGTACACACGGCGCAGCAGCCAGTACTCGACGGCCATCGAGCCGAGGTTCCACACGGCCACGAAGGCGCAGGCCACAGAGGACGAGGCGAAAGACACCAGCTGGCCCACCGCCAATGGCGCCAACACGTTGCTAACTTGGTCGATGCGCCGCAGAATGGCATTCATGTCTGCCGGGATAGGTAGCAGCATTAGTGTTGTATTTAGAGGGATGGGTAATGACATTATTTCTGATTCACTAGGGGTGGAATGGCGATTTAAGTACTGCCCTTTGAACCTGGACGCCTGTGTTCGATTCTCAGCCACGGCCAATATCACTGGCAAGTGATATCATCTTATTGTGAACCTCAAAAAATCAGCTGAGGCATTTTAGACATCCATACAGATTACCCCGAGGGTGTGCTTTGGTTACCAAACCTCCACATGGCGTTATGAGTTGCTATCCAAAGCAATACACAAGAAGAAGTGGTAACAGAACTTGTCCTGGACCTCCAATGGGTTAATTCAGCCTTAAATATAGACCTAGCATGGTGTGTAAACATCAGCTATTGTTGTCTTTATAACTTCACACCAACAGCACCGTACAGTGGTCAAACAGTGGTGAGCACATCGTGCTATAAACTAGACAACCTACGTTTAATTCCCGGCCATGGCTAAAATCTATGGCGAATACTATCTAAACTGGTCCTGCACACCTTTCCCACCAACCTGTACCATCCGGAGTGGTAAAGTTTGCTAAATTTCTCCATGACTGATACAATGTGGAGAGGCCCTTTAACCACCAAGTGGATTGCCAAAGGGATATAAATGAACAGCACTAACATCAACAACATGTAAGGCTATACGGGAGGATCTATATCTTTGTGCGTGATTGGACCTGCCAGTCGTCCGCTGTGACCCTCTGCCAGCACCACCACCCAGTCGCGCTGGATTGTGATCGTGGTGGCTGTGCTCGCGAGGTTGGCCACGTTTGCTGTGCCGATCACCACCACGTAGCAGAAGACCTTGTGTCGGTATCAATCATGCATGCAGGACCAGAGTAATATCTTTACACATGCAAAGCACACGCCACCATCGTCATACATCATCGTTTAGATGGCTAGACATTCTGGCATCCTGCTTTATTCTGTGATTTGATCACTTCGCATTGAGTTGATGTTTAAATCTCCACACCTGTCTGGCATTTTTAGCTGGATGTTACCAAGCCAGCCATCTGCTGTTGAGTGGTTGTTGGTCTTGCTTTGACATCATTCAAATAGCGGTTCCACTGTGTGACATTGTCATGCCCAAATACCGAACATGTGACAAATACAATTAATAATGCCCTTCATCCAGGAAACCTCACTGCGTCTTTGGATTTTTTTCAATCAGGTTTTGAATTGAGACATTTTGCCAATTCCAATGTGGAAGGAAACTGGAGTACCCAGAGAAACCCCATGCATACGAGAATATAACATTCAAAGCTCGAGACACAGTTACATTGAATTAAATTATGTACTACCATCTCCTGGCCAGCTAGCAGTCCAAATTTACAAAACTTGGTATTCCATGGCAGTCTCCCATCCAAGTAGTAACCAGGCTCAGTCTGCTTAGCTTCCAAGATTAGACAAAGTCTGATGCATGAAGCATGATTTGGGCTTAGGTAAATCATCCTAAATGACTATGTGTTAACATTAATACTAAATGTTAGAAATGTCTTCTTCAAAAACAGATAATAATTAATCACAAATATGGCACCATTTTGCCTTTATAGTCTCTAAAATGCTTATTCTGTGACACTCTCTTTTAAGAGACACATTACATGCCTTCAAAGGAATTACTGACATCAGTGTCGTAATCTCAAGGAGTAAAATATTAATATGTAGTTGAACATTGTCCTCCCCATTGCCTGACCACACACATTTAAAAGTATAATGGATGAACTTTCTGAAGGTGTTACCTTTACCATAAAGTACAGACTTTCCATGTCTATTATTTACAAAGTCTATTTGAAACTTAAGGGCTTCATAAGACAGATATAATGTATTCATATCAAAGAACCTTACGATCAGCCAGCCATCCCATATGTTGGAGATGTAATTTTGATACATGAAGATCATCATCAAAACGATGCCACAGAAAATGACAGAGGAGTTTTGTATCACAAGCGATGTCTGGGCCACTGCAACACAGAAACAACAAGACAGTCAAACAATGGTGAACCCGTGTGACATTTCACTGGTAATGTCATAAAGCACAAGACATGCACCACAAAAAAAGTGGGATTTTTATTTGAACACCGATCATTTTACATGTTTACAAGTGCCTGCATGTAAATTGTTGACGAATTTCCTCAAAATAATGTTAAGATCTGATCTCTTCGGAATAATGGTGCCATCTATATCCCCAAGGGCTACCCCATTTGTGATTTGTCAATCATTATATTATTTGGGTCTTTTGGTAAAGTGACGTAGATAGGTTAAAAAAATTAACTATGACGTTTCGATCGCAACACAAGCGACCGTCATCAGGTGGAAAAAGGGGAGGGAAAACACTAAAAGCGAGCTGTTTTCAAGGGTTAAAATGGTCGTAGCTCAGGCGTCCTGGTATCAGAACGAAGTGGGCGGGGCACAAGTGCCCTGGGGCCTGCGCAAGCGTAGATGGTTATGTTGATGTGAAATCGTAATTTAGGAGAGGGGGAGCCGCATGAGACGTGGATAAATTAACAGCTTGTGGTACGCCCAATGCAGGGGCGACACCGCAGGAAATGGAATTGCTTTCCCATCTTTGGCAAAATAAAACTAACATCGGAAGGTGACAAGATGGAAACATCACAGCCAGTTATGACTTAAACTGCTTGATGACTTCTTTCCAACGATTGGCAAGTTTGTACCCATCCTCTTGGTTGAAATTGTGTCTGTGTCTGTATATATGGATCGCTTCATGAACGAATCTTTGTTGATAGCCAGTGGGCTTACAAAGTACATTCATCTTAGAGAAATCAATTTCGTGTGACCCAACCGCATTAAAACAATAATCAGCCACGGCTGAAGTGTTGGTCCTCCCGTGTTTCAAATCTGCCTCATGCTCACGAACACGATCGCTTAGTTTCCCCAATGTAACTACTGCCGCAGACACAGCTTAGTTTGTGGAAGCCGGGGTATTTCAGGGATCTAATCCTTCACAGATGGGATCAGATTTTGATTTAAAGCTTTCGTGACTGCAGTAATTCATATTCTTAGCTCTTTCGGTAAAGTCACGTTGAAGGGAAACAATAAAATAATAATATATAAAACAATAAAAATTATCACGACGTTTCGACCATAACACAAAGGGTCGTCATGCAAACCGACACTTCTTTTAAATGTTTCTTGCCGTTGGGTTTTCACACCTGATGGCGACCGTTTGTGTTATGGTCGAAACGTCGTGATAATTTTTATTGTTTTATATATTTTTTATTATTTTATTGTTTCCCTTCAACGTGACTTTACCGAAAGAGCTAAGAAGATGGGATCAGATGACGAATTTTATGCACCGTGTTAAATCGAACCTGGATCTTGTGTTTGCTCATGATTTTGGAAATATTTTTGGTGACCCCTGCTATGTATGGCAAGGTGATGGTTTTGATTGGGTCCTCAGATGGCTCTTTCCTAATGGTTGGGGTGATAGCTTTACGGATTGTGTAGTCCGAATATCCATTCGTCTTGAGAGCTTGGTGCACGTGTTTCAGTTTACTGGCTAGGTGATGATGGTTGGAGATACATCGAGCTCTATGGTGTAGAGTTTTGATGAGGGAATTCTTCTGGGCTGGATGGTGGTGGGAGTCAGGCTTTAGATAGGCATCCGTGTGGGTGGCTTTCCTGTAGACCGAATGTCCCAACGAGCCATCATGTCTCTTCTCGATCAAAACATCCAGGAATGGTAGCTTGCCATTCTTTTCCACTTCCATGGTGAATTTGATAGACGGGTGAATGGAATTTATGTGGTTGAGAAATTGATTCAGTGCTGGCAGGCCATGTGGCCAGATGACGAACGTGTCATCTACGTATCTCTTCCACAAGGACGTAGGGTGGATGTCTGGATGGCATCTGTCTCAAAATTTTCCATGAAAACATTCGCTACCCATTGGGGTACCCTCATTTTTTCTGTAGAATGTACCATTCCAGGTGAAATATGTGTTGGTAAGACAGTGCCTTACCAAAGTTGGTACATCTGGATTCAGTCCTTGTTGGAATAAGCCTTCAATTATTGCAATGGTGTCAAGTACAGGTACATTGGTGAACAGAGAGACTACATCGAAACTGACAAGCAATCATCCGGAAACAGATGTCCTTGATTAGAGAAACCAAGCGAGCTGAGTTAAGTACAGCTGAGGTGGACTTGCCAGTGAGTCTCAGACAGAAATCCGGGCCAGTTTGTAGACAGAGTGGCCCAATTATTAATCAGCTGATGTGTGGGTGCTAGATTTACTTTATTGCTAAATCGCAGGACAACGAGAAATGGAGGCGGCTTGGGGAGGTCTTTATCCAGCAGTGATTTATCGTGGCTTATATTGGACCTTTCCGGCTTCCAGAACACACATGCCGTTATACCACTGTGAGGCTGCGCTTCTCTCCTCACCTTCACCAACCCCCACTGACCAGCATTGTGACGCGGGGTCAAAAAGGCCCTCATCCAGCAGCGGATTGACATGTAATGTAAGATATACTGGAAATAAGCAGGATTCCAGTCTGTGCCTCCACATAAAAATACAATAATTGTTAAATGCGGCTTATTGTATGGTATCGAGCAGCATTTGTTTAACCAAGCAAACTCTAGAGTGATTCCAATCTTCTGGGTCTCATCAAAATAGCCAGGCTTGTTATAAAAATGCTGCCATGTTGCCTGATGTTACTGTTAAGAACAATGTATATAAACCATGGGTCCCTGTTTAACGCAAAAAAGCATGAGAGTAAACAAATGGATTACGCGTTATTGTCGAGCACTACGAATGTAAGCGTGACACTAGGAAAACTATGACGGCGCCGCTGATGACCAAGTACCCTTGATTCTGGAGTTGGTGTCCACCCAGTGGCCAATGAGGGCCCCGCATAGCAGCACAGAGAATGCCACCACCAGCCCGTACGCTGCCGTGAGCAGCAGGCTGTTCCCGTAGAGCTCCACGAGGAAGAGAGCCACCGCGAAGTGCCACATGCGGTCCCCCTGTTTTCATGCAGCACCACCACCAACCACCACCAACGCAGATGCGCTCTGCTCAGTGCGGTCACTTGAGTTTGGTGATGATCTGTGCCACACCCCCCCCCCCCCCCAATTGGCAAAATCTGTGGTGGTGCTAGCCTTCTAGGGGTTCTAGTTCCACAAAGATATCTGTGAACTGGTCATCTGTAAAACCTACTGGACAGCTGTGAAAAAGAGCTTCATAGCTCATCGGATTCCTCCAGTAAAAATACATGCACCCCTATTATGTCATGAATCCAATGACAATTGAGTTACTTACTGGTGGCCCTAAGCTGTTAGTCTATGCCAGCACCACCACTGGGGAACGTGCTGAGAAGACCCTATAACGATGCATTATTATATGGCTAGAAGATGAACTGTTTCATTACAGTATATATTTGACTGTTACATATATGAAGCTGATGCTCCCAAACTTATGAAAAAACAATCTGAAGATATAACAGATCAACTAATTAATATTGATTTAACTTAAATAATGGATATTGAATTATTACTGACATCACATAAATATCTGATTACATAGTGTATTGTGTAATTATATCCTCCAGTATATTATTACTGTACATGCAATTAATTACAGAAAAAAACGAGTTTATATCTAATAAACACTTTTGTATTATTCCTATGTACAGTAGTTTTATGTAATATTAGAGAACGCACCCATGTTGACAATGCATGACAGATGTAAATGAGACACCTTGAGGACCTCAAGAATCTCAACGTGTTATCTGCAGACAAGGAACGTTTAATACACAGCACAGATAAAGCACAAACCACATACGTTAAAATTTTTTATCTGTATATCTTGTAAAAAACTAAAATCTGGGTGAAGAAATACATTATTCCATCATCTGATAATACAAAAAAATGTTTGCAACCTACAAAAGATTAAATACAAGCATCAGTCACCACAAGACACAATGTCGCATACAATACATCGAATTCAGAGACCTTACCCCAGCAGGTCACCATCTCGGCATCTCCCGCAGGTAAATCTCTTTCACTATGTGTATTTCTGGAACTCATGTTGCGAGAATTTCTCTTGAAGTAAAGTTGGCAAACCTAATGTACAGGTCTAGTGAACAGACACTATACAAAACAAGATTATGTTTTATATTCGTGTTGTATAATAAATTGTGACTTCCAATTATACCACCAACAGTACTCTTCACAAAACTGTGAAAACTTATACCCTGACAAAACTGTGCATGCCTAGACGGGCAGACCATCGCTGTGAAGTCGTCTATGAATCATCATCTGTGTAACAGACAATGCATACAAAGTACTGTGCTGTTGTAAATGTGATTCATAAAAAAAACTATCATTAGTTGGTTCAAAGGTGTTCCATTTACTCCAGCGAGTTAAATATTGCAGGTGTCCATGTGCACTCACCTTCTCACGTGTGGCGGAATCATATATTTACGTCGCAGTGGACTTAGTTATAAATGTACGAAGAGCCAAACGTGGTGCACAATACTAGAAAACCTCAAATGTACATGCTGCTTTAAGCATCCATTCATATAAATAGCAAACAATTTAACAGGGCAACGTATATCATGCTGTGAGATTTAATGTGTAAACACTTATGAATTGAACTGGCTAATCGTTTTAAATCCAGAACGTCCTGAAAAAGGTTTTAATAAATACTGAGAATTACGAATATTATTTTGTGTGGCAAGCAGTATAAACCTCTAATGGCAGTTTTCAACACAGTTGCACTTAAAATTTGCATGATCTTATTCCTCAAGAATGTTTACTGCATGCACGTAGGTAATATATTACAGGGATGTCAACATATTGTAATTTAAAAACGAGGAGTCACTTTCAAGAGATCAAAATAAGAGAATTGGTACAGTTACATTTGCATCTAGAACATCCACTGGAGTTGGTTCAGGGGCTTGTATTGTATGTTTGATGATAAAATAAGCTCATCTACACAACATTAAGCTCATGAATTCTGCCTTGGGGCAACGGTTAGCACACTGGACCTGCAATCCGAAGGTCACTGGTTAGATCTCCCAGCCAGAAGTTAAAATCAACACGTTTTTTAAATTCCTCCCAACTTCTGTTCACCCAGGAGTATAAATGGGTACACTATAGTTAGTCGCTCGTGCGGTGGGGTAAAGCGTGGGTTCTCTCGTCTCTTCCAAGACGTTAGGTCATTTTTAAACAGTAGGCCAAAAATAGCTGCTAGTAGAGACACTTCTAGGTGCAGCCCTGCAATTGCTTGCTCATGCAAAAGATAAATCCTCACATTGGCACTAAATCTCATAACACCTGCAGTGCATCTGCCAAAATGACACAGGAGGTAGTTTATCTTTCATTGGCATCTGTAAATTGAACTTAGCGAAGATAGCTGCATACGAGAACGTTGACCACGGGGATTAAAAGCCAGCACGTGATGGCCACGTGGTCCAGGTACATTATTGTGCTTCATGTGTGGTCACCGAGTTGCTCAATAAATCTTCTGCTTTCAGTATTTTGTGTATATATTGTATGCCAGCAGCGTTGCCATTGTTGAGTTTAATACTAATCCTTCTAATATATTATTTAGTTGTGTCATCTATTCTCATGTTGAGATCTGGATAGAGAAGTTTCCTTAAATAATGTCCAACTGTTGGCTCCGGATGATTGAGAATGGATTTGACGTATTCTTTCCAGAGTTTGACAAGTTTTCCATGAGTCCAGATCATTTTCCAATATTGATCTCTGATGAAGCCAACTTGTGATGTCCAATTACCAGAGTTTATTGACTATCCTAAATAGTTTTGGATTCTCCTTTCTTTGCAGATTCTTCAACTTCAACTGTTACTTTCAGAAATCAACCGCTTGTCTTTCATTGTCCTTTTCTCTCTACAATGTTTATGCTTCTGACGTTTGCTACCCTGCGATATGGCTTGTGGTTAATTTACAGGGCAATTGCTTTCCATGTTGTTTCAGAAATATCTTCTTTCTTCTAGAACTCAGGACTTATTGAGCCACTTCAATCAGGTATGGATAGATGACAAGCACCGCGTGACTCTAAGCGACAAGATTATAATCCCATTTCTCTTCGAAGAATTACCTGAGTACGATGCGTATTTTTTTTTAGGTCGAGGTTTTTAGTTAACTCCACATTCATTAACCACAACCAAGGGCACTTACAATTTTACTGCTACGACTTCACCTTGTGGTAAACTGCACTAGTGCGTGACTCTTTCGCAGGGTTCAGCAGCGTCAGCAAATTCAACTTTCCCCAACATTACACATATACATTATGAGACCTCCTTTGCCAGAAACAAGATATAGGAATAGGTTTTACCCTTTTAACTGGCACAAAAACTGACACCTTTATTCAAAGCATCATGTTTGCAATAACCACAACACAAGCAGTCAAAAAGCTGTCTCGGGTGTGGACCAATCAAATTCAAGTACAGTGCATATTATTATCAGAGTTGTCTTTTTTGTTTGCATTTTGACTGCTTGTGTTGTGGTTATTGCAAACATGATGCTTTGAATAAAGGTGTCAGTTTTTGTGCCAGTTAAAAGGGTAAAACCTATTCCTATATTACACATATAGTCTATGTTCCACCTTACTCCATGTCAAATTTGTAAATGGTAACACTCATCATGGCACAAAATCCATAACTAAAAAAATATTTAACAGCACACAACGGTGCGCATTGCATGTACAAAAGCACTCAAGCCTTATCCACACCACCAGTTTGAAATAACTCAATGTATGCCCATTGTCGTATAGACCACACACTCAATACGTTAATAAAATTATGGCCACGTTCCAACGGGCAGAAGCGAAATAGGCAACAACTTTAGACCGGTTTTCGTTTTCATTAAGACCCAACAGTACAGCAGAGTCATCAATGTCCCTTGTTGCATTACGCCTCAGGGTGCCCACATAAATGAAATGGCTTTCCCTTTCACTACTTATTGAGTCATTGTTGCCTTTAGGTTAAGTGATAATCGGGCCCCGTGGTGAGCGTCTTATAATGCGGAGAGTACACAGTACTGTACTATATACAGGTTGCTTCTATTTTTATTTTGACACTTCTCAGAATTTGCATCAATACCACAATAAATGTGCTCTAGCCTCTGGGCTCCTGGAGACCACCTGGAGAATATTTACAGGCGTAGCGTTGACAACGGTGGCGAACAAGCGGAGACTCTTTGACTTTTTCAAGCTATTAACAAACGTTTGTTATCATTTCACAGTTTAGTATCCGTTCTTTAAGATGTTTTGTATTTGCTATTTGTGGGGGCTTAATGTCTCTTGTCCGCCCTCTGCTGGTTTCTTGATGCGATGCAACGCCGCCGCGTCCTTGGTAAAAACACAAGTTGTTCCGGAGCAACATTATTTTACTATTGTATCCAATGCAGCATCAAACGTAAACGCGCCTAAAAGTTAAAACATACGCATTCATACATATAATCGTAACATCACGATAACATCAGCAGCAGCAAACACACACAACAACAACAACGACGAAGATGAACAACTTCACACGAACGCTGCGCCGGGTGAGCGCGAGGTTCACGGTCTCCGGCGCAGGGGGCCTCCCTCGGCTAGTCGCCCCGCGGGGCTGCCGTTCGCCTTCGCGGGCGGAGTCCGGCGGGGCGAGCCGTAGGCCCCAAGCGGTGTCCACGGGCGGTGCACCTTGCCTGGTACTGGGCTTGGAAACGAGCTGCGACGAGACGGGGGCGGCGGTCCTGTGCGCTCGGAGCGGCGCGCTGCTGGGCGAAGCCCTCCACTCGCAGAAGGAGGTTCACGTGAGGTGATGGGAATGCCACGTTTATTAATGTTGGTTTCATTGATTTTGGTATAGCCCCCTGTGAGCCATTCGGCTCTTGAATCGGGTGCAATCGCAACAAATAAACAAAAAACACGAACAAGAAAAATATCTTAGGGTGACTATGTGTTGACTGTGCAAACAGGAAAAATCCAGGGGAAAAAAACAATCAAAATATTCCTGAAATAGCACCGTACACCAACGCTGTGTGCAAAAAATCCCAGTGGGATGCAAGTCAAACAACAACAACCACAAGACAACTTAGTTTAAAAGCCATCAATCTAACTCCGTACTACAACAAAACAAACATGGCCACACCAAAAAACGTTTTCGAAATCACCTAAATAAAGCCATAAAAGCAATGTAACAGTGATCATAGGAGCTGTGACCGAAATTGTCACAATGAACGACATAAACAACATGTACCACCAAACCCTGTAGCCATAGCTGGCTGCATGAATCACTCCACAACAGCAGGGGCATCAGTAGGAGTATCAACATTTTTCAATGCACCTTTAAAGATCAGCACACTAAATAAAAAACACAAGATCATACGTTGTGTTTTATATCTGCGCAGCAACGGGGTTTGTTTGTTTTTATATCACGTCTTGGACGTCACGGGGTTGCTATAACGCCACGATGTTACTGTAACTTTAAATTGTTGCGGGGTTTTCTTTCTCCTCCTCGCACTGAGTGACATCAAGACAGCCCTGTGCATTTTCAGTTTTGTTGTAAAAGTATATCCTGTAGCGGAGAAAAAACACACATGTTCCATAAGTAGTAGCTGTATAATAATGTCATGTTTTCACGTTTCAATGATTTCGCTTTGCACATACGGTAGTGGTTGCTTTAAAGTCACAGATTTCATAAATTAGCTGTAATTTAAAAGTGATCATACAAGAATGTTCGTACGTTTAAAAAGTTAAGTAGTTGTTTCTTGCTCAAATGAGCATTGAGGCGGTGCCCATCTGTTTACAGCCTTGATCTCGTGGTGGTCATTCCATATTCATATGGCGGGGCGAGGGTGAGTCTCTCCATAGTACAACCACTGTTGACTTCCTCACAAAGTGGTACCTATATTTTAACACATTTTTATTGTTTTCTTATCAACCCCCATGAGTGATGAGTCAACAATTTCCTGTAGATGTAGATGCCACTGGTTCTTCACGTTCTGCAGATGCAGATGCCACTGGTTTCTCATGTTCTGTAGATGTAGATGCCACTGGTTCTTCACGTTCTGTAGATGTAGATGCCACTGGTTCTTCACGTTCTGCAGATGTAGATGCCACTGGTTTCTCATGTTCTGTAGATGTAGATGGCATTGGTTCTTCATGTTCTGTAGATGTAGATGCCACTGGTTCTTCACGTTCTGCAGATGTAGATGCCACTGATTATTCACGTTGTGCAGATGTAAATGCCACTGGTTTCTCATGTTCTGTAGATGCCACTGATTCTTCACGTTCTGCAGATGGAGATGCCACTGGTTTCTCATGTTCTGTAGATGTATATGCCACTGATTCTTCACGTTCTGCAGATGTAGATGCCACTGGTTTCTCATGTTCTGTAGATGTAGATGCCACCACCGCCAGCTATTGCGCCGCGCGTTTGAACAGGCAACTGGACATACGGACAGGTTTGTTCGTATCTCTGAAAGTTCGTTAGTCGAATGTTCGTCAAGTAATGGAGTTCCCGGTATTTGTTTTCCACCAGGAATGGTGGCATCATCCCGACGCTGGCGCAGCAGCTGCACAGGGAGCACATTGCTGGAGTGGTGCAGGAGGCGTTGAGGGCTAGCGGTACAAGCCTCTGCCACCTGCACGCCATCGCCACCTCCGTACGGCCCGGCCTGGCGCTCTGCCTGGCCGTGGGGCTGGAGCACAGCGCCCTGCTGCTGGAGCGCGCCGGCCCGCACGCCAAATTCATCCCAATCCACCACATGGAGGTGCACTTGCGTGGAAACAAGGGTTATTTGTACAAAGCATCATCACTTGGTCCGAGTGGGCATTCTACGATTGACCCCGCCCCTAACCCAAGAGATTTGGGGGAATATTTCATAATCCGTGGTTGTGATTTGATGCGAGAAGTAGCGTGTATGTCTCGTACTTATTTGTTCTGCCTCATTTGCGCTGTTTTGTTTTTGCCTAATTACCTTATTGAAATACCAGCAGTTAATTTTGGGTATTATTTATATAATCTGTAATCAAACTATTCTTCCATGCATGAGCCAATGCATGTATTTTGAACTCAAGAATACATTTTAATACATCGATTGTTACGTGCCTCATACCTGGCACTCTTATGATTAGACGATTATTGCATTGTTTGGCAGTCTACTTTTGCCCCTAAGTGTCGATTTTTTTGTCAGTTCCCATGACCCAAAGTGTGCCTGCCTGTGGGATAGTTTGCTTTGCTTTATACCTACATACAGTAGATACTATCCAATATAAGCATTCTGTAGATTGACACATTCAACTGCCATTTTCTGATGAAAGAAAGGCCTCCTTGTGCCGATTTAGCTGCATTTTTCTCATGCTCAAAATATGTATTGAATGTATTGCTCTCTCTCCTTTCTGGATATCCGGTGTGATTGTTTCTATGTGGTGGTCAGGCCCATGCACTGACAGTGCGGATGATGCAGCAAGTGGAGTTCCCATTTCTGGTGCTGCTTGTGTCAGGTGGGCACTGTCTGCTTGCTGTAGCGCGAGGGGTCGATGATTTCCTCCGGCTCGGGCAGACGCTGGATGAGGCACCTGGAGATATCTTCGACAAGGTGCTGACATGTGGAAATATTTGTTATATGCTGTGGTGATTTATGAAGCAATGGTGTTGCGTTTTGGTGGGTATTAACATTTAGCTAGGACATCCTATAATAGATGGGTAAAACTAACAAGGGAATATGGACTGATGGAGAGAAGGATTAAGAGAAGTAGAGAGAAAATTTGATGGTGGGATGAGATTAGAAGATTAGGAGCTTACTGGGTGGAGGTGGTAAGAGATTGTGAGAAGTGTAAGATATTGGGTGTGTTGCATTTTAAAACCTTAATCTATTTATATATTTACAACTCATAAAAAAATGTAGCAGCCTTTTAAATGTACAATAATTGAATTGTCAACTCTTATCAAAGTTTTTACAACACACGTTATTTCATTTTTTCTGCAGGTTGCCAGGCGTTTATCACTGCATAATATTTCAGAGCTCTCTGCAATGAGCGGTGGTCAAGCCGTGGAGCACATCTCAAAAGATGGGAACAGAATGGCGTTTCATTTTAAACATCCTCTTGAAAAGTACAGGGACTGTAACTTTTCATTTTCCGGACTTCGCACCCAAGTCAGCCAAACAATAAAGCAAAAGGAACTTGAAGAGGGTAACCAGATGCAGGGGAAAGACTAAAATGTGCACTGTATGACTATTTTTGTCCTAATAGATTAATGGATATGCTGTTTGGTTCATGTTCAGGAACTGTTGAATCTGTGATAACAATGCTAGTTCTTATGTATGATTACAGGAATTAAAGAAGGACAAGTATTAGAGTGTGCCAGTAGCATCGCAGCAGCTACTCAGTACACTGTGGCAGCACACATCGCGAAGCGCACCCATCGTGCAATGGTGTTTTGTCTGCAAAACTCCCTCATCCCTACGGACAATCCAACATTGGTGTGTTTGATGCACCTTTTTTGGCTTTAACACAAATGCTGCCGTCAAAAAATGTCATCCAAATGTTAAACAAGTATGGTTGGGTGGGCCCACAGGTGGTGTCAGGTGGTGTGGCAAGCAACAGCGTCATAAAGGAAGCTTTAGGGCATGTGGCTACTGCTGTTGGATTCACTGTCATCTGTCCTCCCCCACATCTCTGCACCGACAATGGCATCATGATCGGATGGTAAGCACTTACTATTTAGAGTTATTGATTTTCAAACTTGTCATGTCATTGAACTGATAGACTGTGCAACACTAGCCTTCAATACCGTTTTCTTTCTTTCAGGAATGGTGTAGAGAGACTGCGTGCCAATGTCGGGATACTTCCAAATACAAGTGGCATTCGATTTGAGCCCAGGTGAGTTGGCATCATTAGCACACAACTCTTGACTTTTAAAAGTAATGCATTGCGTGAAAGTGATCTTGTGATCTCACTTTACAGGTCTCCCTTAGGAGTGGACATTTCTGAACAAGTATCAAATGCTTCAATCCGTGTGCCATTGGTTAATCTCAAAATATAATATACTTAAAATAAAACTAGAAGTACATGATCTAACATTTACTTTGGAGTATGGATTGTTGTGATTCTCTACTGTAATACATTTTTTAAAATTCCATCTCGTGTATTTTATTTAAAGTATATTGTTACATGTCATACATATAGCACCATTAGCCAACAGAATTGGTCATATCGGCTATGGGGATGGCACAAATGAGCTGTATTGTTGGTCTTTTCTGCACTTTGTGAAATGCCTTGTAGAAAAAAGACAAGGCTAGTGTGGCACACTAATCATTCCCTGGGGTTAAGGGGGGTCCCTATGAATAGCATTTAACCTTTCAACAACGCTAAGGCAAACATTCACTCCAAGTACTGCGGGAATGAGTGGGGAATGAACATTTAAAGGACTCATTGACAAGACAAAACCGCAGAGCATTGCAAATGACATGGATTCTGTGGCAGTGCTTTTAACTTCCCGTGCCAATTATTAGACAACGGTCAGTAGGTGGCATCACAGAGAATGCAATTGTTCGTGAACAGTGCGAAACTTGCTCAGTGCACACGCAGGTGCTAAGTGGATCGTTACTTTACAGTATTGCAAGATGTCTACAGCTTGGGAATGTCTTTATCCAACAGTACTGACAGCTGCTGCTGATAAAGCTTGCTAGTGAGGCGTGTTCAGGGCAATGCAGATCCCTGGGTTTGATCTTCCACAAACTTCATGGTCTACGCTTAACCGCATCTGCGCAAACCATCGCAGATGCGAATACCTGATCCACAAATTGACAATTAAAAACTATTCAGTGTGCGACTGGTCATCCAGAACAAACCATACATTTAACGACAAAATGCCCGATCCTGACACGGTTATTTGGCTCGACTACTTGGATGTGAAATAGTTGCTCTGCATCTAATCAGCCATTTGAAAGACGACTCCTGGAGCTGCTTACCTAGGGATGGGCGTTGTAAACCTTCCCACGGCTTTCAAAAGTGCCATTATTGCATTGGATCAGCTACTCACGTTTCTCTCTCCACGTGCATCTATTGTGCTTCAAAAGAACTGACTCAAAAAAAATTGTTTGCACCCGATATGCAAAATCGCAAAAATTATGAAACCAGACGGGGTTGACTTTAATCAGAGCTTTTTTAATGTGAAGCATACTTAGTATACTGCCTGCAGTTTTAAAGGATATTAGGGTGCAATATTGTGCATGTTCTGTTTATGTATGAAATAAAAGCTGTCCATTTTTTTATAGATTGCATCTGTATATGCTTTGCTCAGTACTCACAAGAATTTAGAATCGTAACAAATGCAAAACGTATCCTTAATCTTTGGTTTATTAAAAGCTGAAAATATATTACATTATTCTTGCAATTAATGTATTCAGTTTTGTTACATCCATTGGAAATGCTGAAATTCTGTATCATTCTGAACTCAAGATATATATTAAAACATGCAACATTCACAAGGGTTTTTGCAATTAAAATAAGTATGCAACTATGTTGTCACTTTTATAATCACCATATTATTACGGTAAATAATATTTACGTATAAAATGTGAATGGTTGTCTAGTTCATGTGTCCTTTGTGGGCATGACAGTATTGCAGATGTGGTTTATTTAAAATGAAAGCACTTTCCAAAAGAACAATTGCTCAGAAAAATAAAATTATCTATGCATCGACTTAAGGCATTGACCTCAAACAAATATAATTCACATAAAGCAGCTTTTCCAAACTCAACCGCAAAATCCGATACGTGATATATGGCTCAATGTAATTTACTGCATATATATATCTCTATCATACATAGACTGGCATGAAGTGATGAGAGTAATATATCTTTTTTACTTTATCACTATTTGCTCCAACTTTAAAAGATCGTCAGTGCATTTGAGTTCCCTGTACAAAAATAACAAACCTTTTATGTTAGACACCAGCAGAACATGCAAGGCCCTGAGATGAATGTCTTGGATATATGGGTCATCTATGCCATTGCTGCAAAGTATTTAAATGTGAGCATACAAGTGATTAAGAAACAAAAAAACGTAAATGTCAAAATTCAATCCAAGTTGGGGTCAATAATCTGATTGATTTAAATATAGTCTTGCTCATTGAAGCCACTTTGCTGGACAATCAACAAGTCTACGTAATTCAGGGACTGCCATGTATTGCTCACCTGTGTAGGGGACGCATCGCTCACTTGAGTTATCGACACGCAACTGAACATCACAATGCGTGCCAACTCAGTTACGCTGAAATCGACACCGACCCAGTGGGTCTCAGTGCTTACCCACATCGCTTCTCAGCAAATCTGTCGTGAGACAGCGGCCGGTCACGAGTACAAAAAAATATCAGCCCACACCTTCCGATACATTGGGATGTAAATCCAGCGCTGCCTGTTCGCCTAAAACCATGTCACAGCTTCTGAATCGCAGCAGCATCACTCCACACCACAAATACAAATGAAGGCGAGAGATGGAAGCAAGTCTTGACTGCGGCCGACGTCAAAAATAAACATCTCATACAGGAGCCGACCGTCGAACCTCCCAGTTTCAACCTTACACGCTGCCAACGGTCGACCATCAACCGAATCAGGATCGGGCATGGCCAATGTGGCCACCTGATGCACAAATGGCACATCAAAGATTCGGTGCAAGCACGGCCACATCCCAAACCATCGATCGCATTGTAAACACCTGCTGTCTTCATTCCTTCAAAGGTGGAATGGACGAGATCCACTGCGCTGAACAGCCAATAGAATCCATACGAAAGGGACTGCCATTATACATTTTAGCTGATGTCTTTCAAGTGGCACATTGATGTCACTGTTATATGCCAGTTAAGCTAGACTGTATTAATGGTATGCTAAATGGATAGACACGTACATTCACCATGGCAAGAGACCATAAATTTAAGAGCGGATATTTAATAAACATACTTAACAGTGCTAGGTTATTGCTTTATGTTTCAACCACATATCTGGTCCACTTACCCTTCCAATCGGCATACTTTAAAGACACCACCACTTTTTTCACTCTGAAACACGAATTGTACATATCCTCTGAACCACTGCTCTTCCACATGAGTGCATTTTTTCAGCCCAAATTTTTTAAAACTTCAGTGCACAACTGCCAAATTTCTGCATTTCGGTGGAACGTCTAAGGGTACGTGGCAGATAATGCACCAGTGGTATATTTGCTCCATACCCAGTCACAGCCCACTCACGTCAGACAGGCTAAGGACCGACCGTTGCCTCCTCCACATCGGATGCATCATTATTGCTGATGGTCCTCAAGCCACTGGCCCTGAGAGAGACGATGCTGGGGCAGGACGTTAAGAGAGCCGACAAACCAGCGAAGGTGGCCCCCGTGTGGTCCAGGTTCAGCTGCGCGAGCACCGGCAAGCGCAGCTGTCTCAGGCCTGGGGTGGGGAAGGGGAGCAAGTGCATAGCTCTTAATAAAGTCTGTGGCAAATATTTCTATACGGTACAAAACAGTGCAAAGAAATGCTATGCAGTGTCCTTGTGACACTTTAATCCATTTGTTCATTCATTTATTAAGAACAATTTATGGAAACAATGTCATACTAAATTACCAAATATTATGCCTTTCATGATTTTAATTAAGTGTCATTTATAAAAAGACAAAACATTCTTGGATTTGCCAAGCAATATGCAGAAATGTTTAATTTAATTTACAGTCCTGTCAGTCCACTACTGGATGAAGACCTCTGAAAACTCTGTCAGACAATCACAGGGTTATTTGACAATATTTCATCAAGCTGATCAGTGCAGGCTGAAGGTGGGAAGTCAGGAACAATTCAGATATCACTCGTCACTGACGTTTCGTGCACTGTGCTAAGTTCATAGCACAGTGTGCGAAACCATGCCACCACTCTGCCCTGAGTGTACTTAATTTCTGGCCAGTGTACGAATGTATGGAATGTGTCGCACCCCTGTCTGTGATGCGGGTGCGGCTCAGGTTGAGCTTGGTGAGGCGGTTGCAGTGGCGAATCCCATGCTTCAGGACACTGTTCCCCACATTCGTCTCCACCAGGCTTAGCACCTGCGGCATGAGAGATGTGGGAGCGCCACTGTGAGACGAGCAGGGCACTCTTCAACCACCATGTACATGGACATCCCTTTTGTCAATCCACTGCTAGATAAAGGCCAATGCCTGTGTGGGTCGTGGAGGGTTATTCGAGCATATAAAATAATCAACTAAATTAGTTATTTTTTTGTATTAAACTTTTATTTTACCAGGTAAGGCCCAGAACTAGATTAGCTCTTTTCAAAAGCGACCTGACCACAAATGATAGCTCAACAAAGTGGCATATCATGTGTAAATTGATAGCAGCCAAATACTCTAAACCTACAATTATAAATGTGGGGGCAAAAACCAGAAGACCCGGACGAAAACCTACACGAACACGGGGAGACATGCAAACTCCAAATATATAGGCACCGTCAGGGTTGGGATCGAACACATGTCCTCCTGTGTACCAGGCACCCATAACACTGGTATGGGCTGGTGAAAGCAGGGACCACAGATGGCGAAGCATATACAGTAAATCAGCAGATTTTGCTGCTCAAAAGCCATAATGCATGGTAGTCACCCATTCAAGCTTTATCCAGGCTAAAACCTCTGAGAACTGATGGGATCAGGTGCATTTCAGGTTAATTAATCAGAGCTTCATACCATCATTCACCCACAAATATAAAAGTAAATGATTCAGAAATCATTTCCATCTCTTGTCTCTCACATTGTATTTTCTGTAATATGTTTGGAAAGAATAAATCACCACCAAGCAATTAATACCCAAGTACTTCCAAGAACACACTGGCAACCGCAACCAAAATACATCTCTAACGATCAATTTGGAGGTCTACCTGTCATCCAGGAATGCATTAATGGCCTAAACATCTACAGCAGAATTTACATAAATCATGTTATCTCTCTATTACCATAGCTATGTGAAGATAACTCTCTGTGGGGCATGAGCAGATGGCTAGTGATAGTGGCCAGTGACCTGCAGGTGTGGCAGGGAGACGACGTAGGCTGCCACACCGCGACTGGTGACGGGCGTGCGGTCCAGACTGAGTTCCTCGAGCAATCGAAGACCACGCAGCTTCTCGAGGCCACAGTCCGTCACACGCGTGTTGCTCAGCACCAGCTGCTTCAGGCTGGAACAGGGGACCAGGGGGTTAAAGGCAATTGTGAACAATTCATAGTCTGCTCAAATAATTTCCAAGTCCTACGACCCAAAAATATTGTACGTATCAGATAAAGGCTTCCGTACACCATGTTAGTTATAGGTGTTGTGTGATATTGCAGACATTGAAGCATAGTACAATGAATTTTGGTGCAGTACCTCCTGCTGACAAATTAGGCCCACACCAGCCTACATCACCTATCCAAGCTGACCTCTGCATAGCTTCCGTGATCTGACGAGATCGGGTGCATTCCAGGTGATTTGGTCATAAGCAAAATATTAACTGGGTTTGAATAAGTCAGAGCTCATTTGAATAGCGGTGGTCAAATAACCATTTGCATGTATTAATGTTTACACAAGTGCTAATAAATAATCCCCACTTATGCCTCAAAATAAATCAATTACATGAAATTTTAATATTGCCCAATTATTAATATTACATTTATTGTGCAAGTGTACATTACCAGGAGACTTTAGAAGCAATAGCAGACTGCTGTTCATTATCCCAAGGGGACCTTTTGAGAGAACCCATTCACATTGCATCTAAATACCAAGAGGAAATGTACTTTTGTGACAAAAAATGAAAATCCACATCTGTTGTTTATCACTACATGAGGCTTCTTGCAGTTGCTGTGTGCATGTGTGTATGTATGCACATGTGTATCAACTCATAACACTTGGGTCTGTCCTGTGACCTCCTGTGACTTAAGACCTCAAGACTCCTTGTGGACTCAGGAGTCCATCTCGCTTGGCAAAATTGCCATGGTGACATCACTGATATTTAGTGGTAAATGGAAGTTGCTGTGTGTTTTCACGTGCAGGTCCATGTGTATATGTATTAGTGGTTGTTTGTGTGTCCATGTGTGCATTACCCCTTAAGACATGCAATGTGCTGTGCGCCGGCATCAGAGATGTGAATGTAGTCCGTGAGGTTGAGCTCTGTGAGCAGTGTGAGTCGCGTGATATGTTCCAGGCCTGCATCCGTCACGGTGAGCCTGCATGGCAGACGCAGCACGCTGAGCCTTAGCCCTGGTGAGAGGACACATGTAGGACATGCGTGAGCAATTTGAAATGGGACACGGGTGGGATGTGTGTAGGGTGTAAACAAATACAACGATGGCAGTGCCATACAATGCGCATTTACGTAAAAAATATTCTTTCAAACAATAAATTTGAATATTGTTATCGTTAACCAGATGACAGCCTCCCTAAAATTTTGCCATTGCACAATCTACACGTTTTTTTACACAGTTGAACAAAGCGGTGGTGCAGTAGTTACAGCGAGGGGAAAACGTATTTGATCCCCTGCTGATTCTGTACGTTTGCCCACTGACAAAGAAATTATCAGTCTATAATTTTAATGGTAGGTTTATTTGAACAGTGAGAGACAGAATAACAACAAAATCCAAAAAAACGCATGTAAAAAATGTTATAAATTAATTTGCATTTTAATGAGGGAAATAAGTATTTGACCCCCTCTCAATCAGAAAGATTTCTGGCTCCCAGGTGTCTTTTATACAGGTAACGAGCTGAGATTAGGAGCACACTCTTAAAGGGAGTGCTCCTAATCTCAGCTTGTTACCTGTATAAAAGACACCTGTCAACAGAAGCAATCAATCAGATTCCAAACTCTCCACCATGGCCAAGACCAAAGAGCTCTCCAAGGATGTCAGGGACAAGATTGTAGACCTACACAAGGCTGGAATGGGCTACAAGACCATTGCCAAGCAGCTTGGTGAGAAGGTGACAACAGTTGGTGCGATTATTCGCAAATGGAATAAACACAAAAGAACTGTCAATCTCCCTCGGCCTGGGGCTCCATGCAAGATCTCACCTCGTGGAGTTGTAATGATCATGAGAACGGTGAGGAATCAGCCCAGAACTACACGGGAGGATCTTGTCAATGATCTCAAGGCAGCTGGGATCATAGTCACCAAGAAAACAAATGGTAACACACTACGCCGTGAAGGACTGAAATCCTGTAGCGCCCGCAAGGTCCCCCTGCTCAAGAAAGCACATATACATGCCCGTCTGAAGTTTGCCAATGAACATCTGAATGATTCAGAGGACAACTGCGTGAAAGTGTTGTGGTCAGATGAGACCAAAATGGAGCTCTTTGGCATCGACTCAACTCGCCGTGTTTGGAGGGATGCTGCCTATGACCCCAAGAACACCATCCCCACCGTCAAACATGGAGGAGGAAACATTATGCTTTGGGGGTGTTTTTCTGCTAAGGGGACAGGACAACTTCACCGCATCAAAGGGACGATGGACGGGGCCATGTACCGTCAAATCTTGGGTGAGAACCTCCTTCCCTCGGCCAGGGCATTGAAAATGGGTCGTGGATGGTTATTCCAGCATGACAATGACCCAAAACACACGGTCAAGGCAACAAAGGAGTGGCTCAAGAAGAAGCACATTAAGGTCCTGGAGTGGCCTAGCCAGTCTCCAGACCTTAATCCCATAGAAAATCTGTGGAGGGAGCTGAAGGTTCGAGTTGCCAAACGTCAGCCTCGAAACCTTAATGGCTTGGAGAAGATCTGCAAAGAGGAGTGGGACAAAATCCCTCCTGAGATGTGTGCAAACCTGGTGGCCAACTACAAGAAACGTCTGACCTCTGTGATTGCCAACAAGGGTTTTACCACCAAGTACTAAGTCATGTTTTGCAGAGGGGTCAAGTACTTATTTCCCTCATTAAAATGCAAATTAATTTATTAAAATTTTGACATGCGTTTTTCTGGATTTTTTTGTTATTCTGTCTCTCGCTGTTCAAATAAACCTACCATTAAAATTATAGACTGATAATTTCTTTGTCAGTGGGCAAACGTACAAAATCAGCAGGGGATCAAATACTTTTTTCCCTCACTGTATCACATTGTGGTATGACCTGAAATTGATTTTTGGCTACAGCTAATATCTGACATGGAATCAAGAGGCCTCATCTACCAGTTGATTGATAAAGGGCCATGAAAAATAACAATATAAAAACAATTATATATTATCCTATTGATCCAATAGTGTTTCTCAGTGCAGACACTGTTCAGTGACTTACTTTATATATGAATAGAATAGATAATCTCGAAAAGGTCAACCGTGAGAGGTCGCAATGGATGGGAGTTTAAAAAAACACTGAGGTCGGGAAAAGTATATTCTAATCCATGCGTCAGTAAACAGGTAAATATATATTTGGTTTACCAACCAATATAATCAGAGCCATAAACTGGAAAGGTAGTGCAATAACCAACTAGGTTATAAAGGCTCCACTCTGCAAGCTATCCAACTGATATCTATGTAGATGATAGATGTAACTGCACAGCTTGAGTTAATCATTGCAGGCTTTCTATTGCTGTGTCACTAACCTGAGAGAAGACGCAGAGCCTGGTCGCCTTCAACTGAGCGAACGCCAAACAGACTGAGATATGCGAGCGTAGGGTGGTCCGCAAGTGCGGCCAGCGACTCCTCGCTCACCGCCGTGTTGTCCAGGCTGAGTGCATGCAATGATAGCAGCTGGCGCAAGCAGGACACGTCCACAACCTGGTGGATACAAAGAATAATCTTCTTTGGTTCTTTCGGTAAAGTCACGTAGAATGAGAATAAAATAATAAATTGATAAAATAAAATAACACAATAATATTCTCACGACGTTTCAGCCACAACACAAGCGGCCTTCATCAGGTGAAGGGGCGAGACTGGTAGGTAGGACAGCCCTGATGAAGGCCGCTTGTGTTGTGGCCGAAACGTCGTGAGAATATTATTGTGTTATTTTATTTTATCAATTTATTATTTTATTTTCATTCTACGTGACTTTACCGAAAGAACCAAAGAAGATGAATCATTGCAGTCACGAAAGCTTTAAATCGAAAGATACAAAGAATAAATTTAGTTTTAGTTTTTTTTATGCTTTCCAACTAAGCATTAATGGATGAGCTGTCTTTCGGAAATGTTTGGCTCACGATAACTCTCGTAATGGCCACCCAATATTAATAACATTTTATTTAAAAATTGTGTTGTTATTAAGGACACACTATAGACAACTGATTAAATTGATCTAAGGGTTGCCTAAAACCTGTTGATACATAACTGCACTATAATAATTTGCCTTACCGGTAAAGGTGATGACGTCATCACACGTTTTACATTGTGTGACATTCCGTTGTGCTGCTTGGAACATAACAGTATTGTCGCAAATCAAACACTTCCAAGGACAACCGTATATTGGAAACGTCACAGAATCAAAGACTTACGTATGATTTTCTTCCTTTTTTAATACAAAGAGAAGCTATTCATTTGATATGCTTGATTTTCATGCACGGCCATCTACAGGAGCGCGTGACTGAAGAAGGCGACGAGTGACTGGGCTCTGTACCGCGGTGTTTTTGACGCTGAGTCCATGCAGTTGTGGCACGGTGCGCGGCAGCTCCCGCACGGTGGCCTCGGTGACGGCTGTCTGGTTCAGGCTAAGCTGGACGAGCGACGGCGGCGCCTGCTCCAGGTACGCAAGCAAGCCTGCATCGGTCACTCGCGTCCTGTCCAACACCAGCTGCTTCAGGCTCCTCAGCTCTGGAGCATGATCAGTCAGGAAAGAAGTGTCAGAAGGTAGCAGTCACTGTCTAATGTACACTTAAATCCACTGATGGAAGAATGCCTCTGCACACCATGTGGATTATTGGAATTATTTAACCATTCCACCACGATTATCTAAGTAGTTTGATGAAGGTGGGGAACATAGGGTGTGGAAGCATAGATTTTGCTGTACTGTCCTCTGCTGTCCACCACTTTGACCCACAGCAGCCTGTAAAACCGGTTTTTGCATGCTGATCACCCATTCAAGCACTATCCAGGCTCAACTTTGCTTCGTTTCAGAGATCTGATGAAATCAGGTGCATTCCAGGTGACTTAGTGATCGGCTTACTTTACGATACATGCTATTAATTACATAGCTGTTAGCGCAGTCTAAATATGACTAATAGTATAGCATTATACCTCCTTATATAAAAAAGATAAAATCTCACGAGAAAAGGACACTCGTTAGATCAGTCTTCATTATAAAATAAAGAGTGATATCTAAAATTTCCGAGATGTCATTGCCTATGATCCATATTCGTATGTAATAATTCGCTTTTATGGCAAAACAATGTGCCAGATGGCCTGCACGCGTGCTTCAATGACGTTTTGAAACTTGCGGTCCAAAGTTGTTCTACATGATTATGAAAACGTCATTGTCGACTACCAGATTTGGTTTACAGACCATCAAAGAAACTATAAACGAAAAATGATGTACACCGTAAATCTGCATTACCTTTAATGTAAACGAGGCACTTGTCAGACAGCATAACGCAGGACGCCAGGTTGAGGTGGTGCAACCGCGACAATGATGTAAGGCACTCGAGACTCCGGTCTGATAGAATGACAATGATACGTTTCAACTATCAACACATGCAAACTGATCTCACATAGTGCGTCTTTGCAAGGAAGGTGGAGGTTGTGCACAGACCAGTGATGAGTGAGGAGGAAAGAAGGCTAAGGCTCTTGAGGGATGGAAATAGCCGCAGCTGATGAAGCAGTTCATTAGTGGTGAGCGAGTAGCAGTCCAAGCGCAGGCACTGCAATGGACAGCCCCGGAACAAATCAAGGGTCCTCGGACGTAGCCTCTCATCCTTAACCAGATGAGCAATGATCTTCTCGGCTACGGATGGGTTCAGCCCGGCCAGGCTGCTGGTGAACTGCATGCTGGGGTCTACATTTAGAGGAGGAAGTGGGGAAGAACACATTTATAGCAATTGTTACAAAAATTGTGAACAATTCAGGTCACTGCCTTCTATGTCTACACTTTTTATATACAGGTAGTCCTCTACTTACGATGGAGATGCGTTAAGACGACCCCATCGTAAGTCAAAAGTATCGTAAGTCGAAGATGGCCTAGCCTACCCAGGAGTCTTAAAGAATGGTGATAATTTAGCAAAACAGAGCAATTTAGAGTACCGTACTGTATAAACTAAAAACTGTATGTATTTATTAATTACAATACTGTATTGCACAGTAAAATGTAAAGTAAAAACAAGGTAAATTCTTAGCCTACATATACGAACTGCAATTTAATAGAAAGTTTATTCAGGAAACAATCCTACTGCTATAAAAACTTTGAACATGCATTGAACGTATCGTATCGTGGCAACCCTAAAATGAAATCGCTAAAGCTACCTATCATACATGCATTGAACGTATCGTAACGTATCATATTGTACTGTACTCACCAAGATTCGTACGCTGCTGTGTTTGCCTGCCGCGCAAAATTTACAATATTTTACAATTTTGTCGTATCGCTATCGCCATAGTAAGATCAAAATATCGTAAGTCGGACCATCGTAACTCGGGGACTATCTGTAGCACAAGATTTAGTTTCCAAATCCCAAAAAATATATATTTTTGTCAGTCAGAGATGAAGCTGAGCTTTTGTTTTCAGAATAAAGTCACGTAAAAAATTACATGTGACGCAAGTTGAATTTACACCAACACAATCACATATTCAGAAAATGTTGGTCTAAAAACAGCAATTCTGACGTTTACATATGCATGTGCAGCTGTGCTAAGAATGTACACAACATGTGGTATTTGCAGCTCACCGGTAATCAGCACACACACCGTGCTCAATGCCAGCTCGCCAAGTGGTGGAATAACCCTGCCACGTGTTGGCCTCAGTCCAGGATCAAAGTTCACACTGGGAAAGGGGGGCAGCGCCACCTCAAAGTGCGGCGGCTGACGGTCAGGCCCATCGCCATCTGCGCCCTCATCCCTGCCAAAGGGCCCAGGACATAAACAATTTAATATTGTGCCGCGGATGTCTGTGAAAAAGACTCACCACCCATCACTACCATTCACATCCCAAACGCCTGTGCTGAATGAGTGCTGGTACTCACTGTAGCCGGTGTCCCTGCCCTGGGAAAAGATCGTGGTGCTGCCTGGCTCTTGGAGGAAAGCCCAGTACTGTAACACCAGGTAGGGGTGACATTAAACACAAATGCATTGAGTGGTATTGTGTAAAGCACTTAGGTCATTTGCTGATTCTCTTTAATCTGTTTTCGTAGACGTAGCTAACCTTGTTGCAGTCCAAATCTCTCATGAGGATCAAAACGGTGGTCATCATGCTCCTCCATTGCATCAAAGTTGAGTCCTCTCCCTAAAAAACAGATCCAAGCCAACTACAAGAAACGTCTGACCTCTGTGATTGCCAACAAGGGTTTTGCCACCAAGTACTAAGTCATGTTTTGCAGAAGGGTCAAATACTTATTTCCCTCATTAAAATGCAAATAAATGTATAACATTTTTGACATGCGTTTTTCTGGATTTTGTTGTTGTTATTCTGTCTCTCACTGTTCAAATAAACCTACCACTAAAATTATAGACTGATCATTTCTTTGTCAGTGGGCAAATGTACAAAATCAGCAGGGGATCAAATACTTTTATCCCTCACTGTATATTGAACTTCTTTCGCACCGTAAGTAGCCAAAAATGCTCAATCAATACATCTCTCTATATTACATCTAACTGTATATTTATGTAATCAATTCCTCATAGCTATTTGTAAAGAATCACTCATGCCTCCCAGTGGTTAAACTATTAATCACAATCTTGACTTTTATTTTTTCATCTTACGCTTGCTTTTTTATCTTGCTTAAATCGAATTACAATGGAACCCTACGATACATTTTATACATTGGTTCTCTATAATGGCTAAAGGATGGTGCATAGCAAGCACAAAGTGAATAGCTGTGTCAAGTTGCGTGAAGCTATGCTTACCCCAATTGTGATGGAAGCCAAACCTCTGTGGTAGCTGTCCATCCTCGTCCAAGTCTGGATGGGGTTGCTCCTCCAGCTCCATCTGCCCATCAGAGCCACGTGCTGCCTCCTGTACTGCCTCCTCAGCCACGTCCCCACTGCCGATCTCGATGTCCATGGCTTGATCCCTGCCCGATTCGTGGCTCATTGGCTCAGTACTTCTCTCTGTATGTGCACCACGTCCCTGCTCTTGCTGTGTTCAGAAAATAATTAGCCGACAAGTTCTGCGTTAATATTCTAGTTCAAACAAGGATTATTTCTTCAAGAAATTGCTACCAAATTATTTTCCAGTTGACTTTAAATTAAAATTTGGCATAATGCACCCCACACACAACTAATCATATTGGAAATATGGCTGTCTAGTGACAGGACAATTCCAAAAAGCTTCTCACAATTATGACACTCTAAGTCTGTCATTAATTACTTAAGAACTACCCTATAGCCCATCCAATGACGGCCGTATTGCAGTAAATCTGAAACATTCAAGCGAAAAGCAGACCACGTCATATTCATTGCATCCATTCCTGTGCAATTTGAAGGCTGTGGTGACACAGACTTATTTCATTTAAAGGTTATAATCCCTTGTTCATCAAGATGTCCTTTTTACTTCTATGTCTCAACACTGGGGAGGGGGGAGGAGACGCCTCACCCCATGTGGAGTGACGTCACCCTCTAATTATTATTAATGGCAGGGGGGTGTCCATTTGGAGGACGTCACCTGTTCATGCTTATTGAGGGGGGCTGTTCGATGTGTGACATCACCTGCTCATGATTATTAATGAGGGGGGGGTTTCCATGTGGAGTGACGTCACCCACTCATGATTATTAATGAGGGGCGGGTCCATGTGGAGGACATAACCTGTTCATGATTATTAATGAGGGGGGCTAGTCGACGTGGATTGACGTCACGCGCATTACACTATGACATTCTTGAGTATAGTAGTAAATACACGTCCATTACTGTGTGCTGTATTACAAATGAGCTGAGTCACCTTTGCAGAGGAACATCCCTCACCCTCTATGGCACCCACGCTGCAGTCCTCAGTTGTCTTAACAACAGTGATCCGTGTGACCGTCACGTCTGTCACAACAGGAGTGTCGACTCCAACAGCGCTGCCACCCTGTGTTGTGATAGCTTCATTATTAACAGCCTCTTCATCTTGTGATGCACAGAAGTGGCCCTGTGTTGACTGAGTGACACCACCACCCTCTTTAGGCATGGGGCAGGCACAGCTTGGAGATGCATCTGCTCGGGAACTCTCCTCAGCCCTACGCACGCACAGTGTGCCATTGGGCACAAGCCCCAACTCTGCGAGCGTCAGCTCTAGTTCAGCGGTGCCAAAGTCCTGCCGTGGATATGGCTGGAAGAGCTGCACGGGCAATGGGAGCCCGGGACGGTGTTCGCTGAGGTACGCTTGCACATTGCGCAGAGTGGACGCGCACGGGAAGCGGTCGCGCAATAACTCTCCAGATGGCAGGCGAATCTGCGTTGAACATAAAAAAAGTGAGAAACATTTCAACAATAGCACAGGATTCTGTAAATGAAGCTTGTTCAACAGTCTGCTCGACATGCCTGTATGTTGTCAGTGGCGTAGGGAAAGGAATGACCTGTAGGAGGCACTGTCCAGACACACTGGTCTGGCGGCGGCCTCCAAGCACGCCGCCCCCCTCTGTGCTTGGTCCAGACCCAAGCGATGGCTTTTCTTGCTGCTGCTTTCTGTCCTCTTCAATCCTCTTCAAAACCATCTCACGCTCCTAAAAAAATCCCAGTCGTGAAAAACAGTTTGTCAATAGAATTATTTTAACTTAAGATTGACTTCATTCCTTTAGGATTGAACATAGTCCACAATTAAAAAGTCATGATATTTACAAAATGTTCATTCCAATTTCAACTTTCCTGGTCCTTGAGTTCTCTCCTGGTTAAACAAAAGAAACTTCAACTTTGTCAATATACAAGATGGCTAAAAAGTTTTTAAACCTAGGTAAAATGAAACGTATGATTTTAGTTATCTCAGTAAAATAACTTGGGTTAACTTGTATGGTAATTGATATAGATGTTTACTAAGAGGGAATGTGAGATATGGATACTTGTTCTTTAGACGTGTCCTGCAGCTAGGATACCTTGATCTTGCGCTGTTTCTCTGCCTTGGCATCAATGGCTTCTTGCTCTCTCTGCTTGTCTCCAAAATTTTCTTTTTCGGGGTTCCGTTTTCTGGAAACCACCTTTAATTCTTGGCTTCCTGTGAACAAAAGAAATATATACGCATAATTTTTGTGGCCATAGTGATATTAAAAATGCTTTGTATTTAATAGTTTCCTTTATACAGGAAAGTCTGAATTTGGATGTTTTGCCAATTGCATTAATGCTTCGCATCTGAGAAGAAACCGGATTAACCAGACAACCCAAAAATATGCCGGAATAAGATTGAAAAGCTTCAGACAGATGGAATCAATCCATTGATGTACTACCATCTCCTGGCCACCTTTCAGCTTCAGCTTACAACACCTGGTATTCCTGAGTTATCTCATGCAAGTATTAACCAGCTTTAACTCTGCTTAGCTTCTGAGATTTGATGAGATCAGGTGCGACAAGGGTTATATGGCGATGCTTCTGACACTATGTTGGTCATCGTCGGTGATAAACCTTTTACACTTGTATGAGACAACTTTATGAATTTGCATACTAATATATAAAAACACAAAACTATGGCTGCACTCAAGTGTCTTGGATTTGTATTAAGTTGTTGCATCTGATTACAGTGGAGTAAATAAAGTTATAATGGATTGAATACACAATACCTACGAACACAATTGATAATCATGTACAAATGACAAACTGCCAATTCTTGAAAGTCTTCTTTGGTTCTTTCGGTAAAGTCACGTAGAATGAGAATAAAATAACAAATTGATAAAATAACACAATGAAATTCTCACGACGCTTCAGCCACAGCACAAGCGGCCTTTATGTTGTGGCCGAAGCGTCGTGAGAATTTTATTGTGTTATTTTATTTGATCAATTTGTTATTTTATTCTCATTCTATGTGACCTTACCAAAAGAACCAAAGAAAATGAATCCTTGCAGTCACGAAAGCTTTAAATCGAAATTCTTGAAAGCTTTTGGGAATATGTACGATAGTGAGAGAGCCAAGATAATGCATCATAAAGATGAGATTTCTTTTAACCGTCAACCACGACCGCAGATTACAAAACGTCACACATGCATAGTGACCAGTGGTTCGCACGCTGCACTATGAACCCGGTCATCCGAGTTCTCAGCCATGGGCAAAATTAGTGGTGCACGATATCTGAATCAGTCACGGGACCATCATTAACGAACCCGCAAACAGCACACATGACTGACAGAGCTTGGGGAGGCCTTGATTCAGCAGTGGCTTGACAAGCGGCCATAATATTTATTCATACAGCAGCGGTTAATCACTAATTGGGAAAACCGGACCAGATCCCAGCTGTGCAGAATCCATGCTCTGGGAAGTTCCAGGTAGCTCAGCCGGGTGGTTGAAGGCTGCCATGGCGCCCTGGCTCACTGACGTAGCGGGCCACTTGAGGGAGAGTTGAGCGCTGCTACCCGGCTGCCGCCTCACGCTGTCGCCCTGAATTAGCCTGCAACAACAGCCACCGATTGACTTGCACGTACTCCCCATTCTTGAGGTATACGAGTTATGAAGTTAAAATGCATTCAAATTTACCAATAAAACATGTGTTAAATGGAACCAGTTGCTGACTTTCACAGAACTAAAACTTAAACACTACTGGGTTTTGTAAAATCATAATAATCATGTCATTTACGTATTTAGAAATACCTTTTTAAGGAAGGTACTGCATTGTGATATTTGGTCAAATTAATTGTCCACAAAGATGTGCTCACAACGTACTTGCTGTACAAACACTAAATGCCAATTTTGCATTTCAGCAGGTTTGTCATAAATCTGCCTTTGCCTCCCAAATGCTGGCTCAGTGGCATATGCCCCCTTACCCAGCCAATACACTAACACAAGGAAGTAACTCGCGATGTGCCAATGTAAAACATGCTGCACTGACCAGTCCACTGCGTCTTGCAGTGACACGAAGCCCGCGCTCAAAGCCTCCCGCACACGGGACTCCTCAAAGCCCATGGCCGTCAGGGCCTGTATCACCTCCCCCAGTGTCTGCTGCTCAGTGAGGAGGCATAGGGGAGATACAGACATAGCAGAAGTGAGGTAGGGAAGTGATTTGTGAATTAATTATGGAGTAGAAATTTGACCGTGCCTGCCTTAGTGCCCAGACGTTCGTGTGCTTCTTGCCCCTACACAATAAAATGCATACGGGCAATTCTAAAGTTGCGTAGATTTTAGTCACTCTATAAAGATGCGGGTATTCATTGGTATAATTAAGTGACTCTTTACTTGGGCATGGTATGCGAATTATGATGGTGAGTCATATCGAAACAAGGTAAGGCTAAAGTGGAACAGTATAACAAGACTCATGGTTTACAAGGGCTCGCCGCCATCAGATTATACATGTAGACATGTTTACTATCCACGGCTGGATAATGGTCTGTACACGCTGTGCGTGTCCCAAAAGTTATGTTACCATACTTCACACCACTCTGGTCAATGTGGGTTGGTGCGGGCGGGAGCATAGACTCAAGATCATAGAAGTACAGTACAACTATGTATTTTGATTAATTGCCTGATACTGCGCGCCACTGCTGAAAAATATATATGAACATAAGCGATTGACAGTGGCACGTGAAATGCCAGTTCTGATTGATCATATTCACTATAAACTTGCACATTACTTCTTCCCTCACTGTGTGGCTGAACGACGAGTGGGCCTCGCTCGGGCGTCCACACCTTCCAGCCTTCCGTACCAGCAACCCTAAACTACTCAGCTAAACAATACACATTTGTTATTTTACCAAGTAAGGCCCATTTGAGCGACCTGGCCACAAATGACAGGATTATCACGTGTAAATGTCTAGCAGACACACTACTCCGAACGCGTGTTTATAAACGTGGAAGGGAAGCCGAACAAAAACGAACGCGACCACGGAGAGAAGAACATGCAAACTCCACATGTACAAGCATCGTCAGGATTCGGGTCGGACCCACGCTTTTCCTGTATACCAGGCGAGGCGATTAACATGATTAATGTAAAACGGATTATAAACACCAGCTGTTATCTCAGCGCTACACAGCTAGGCTGCGTGTCCCGGCCCCTACTTTACCCAAACCTGTTGAGTCTAAATATTCGCCCAACAGCGAGAAAGACAATAATTGCGTTCAAAGTTACGACGAAGGGCATCTGTGGTCGACTTTGGAATCTCTTCGCATCGTCTTCTCTCGAGTTCTCAAAACCTTGCTCAAATTCAAGAAATGTCATCTCGTGCATAACAATCTTGAATGGTACCGTTTGTTGCTGGCCGCTTGTACATTTCTGAGCCTTTCCTATTCTTAGCATGCGTGACATTAGAGGAATCCCGTGGCGCCCGCCAGCTCAGCAATGCGTTATCACCGTCTGCGGAAAAAGAGCTTCACAGCTCATCGGATTCATCCGAATTGAATTAAATTCTGCCGTAGCAAGGGGACCTGCGCGCGAGAAGTCACTTTAAAGAGTCTTGTTTTGAATCATTGACGAAGCCACGAACTCGCGCGAGGCGCACAGCGATCGTTCGTGAGAGGCCGCCAGATAAAATAAAACATACACACTTGACACGCTCCGTTCAACGTCGTCTAATTTAAAAGTAATAAATTGCTTAAATTAACTTCGTTTAAATTAAATCAAACCCGTCCCCGTCTCACCTGCCCCGCTGTCGCGTCCATCGCTTTCCTCTCGCTCCGCGCACAGCACTCTGGGGCATAACTCCGGGGAGGGGGGGGAGGTAAACATTGCAAAGCGCGACGCGATTGGCCGAGAGCTCGACCAATGCAGCGGACGTCACGAGCACGGGGGAGGGGAGGGGGGCGATCGGGCAGCAACAGCATCGCCGCACGCGATTCGCTGACGGGCCAACGCAACCCCAACCAATGGGAGATTCGCGTGCGCTTCGTGGTGCAATCAGAATGAGAATATATATTTTATTTTTTTATACTGGTAGGAACGAAGTTGTAAACTGAGTGTACCAGCCTGCAATAGATTAATGTGTCCGTCCGTCCCCTTTCAATACTTTACCGAAGTGAAATCTCGTGCTGTTGGGGTGTAAAAATAAAATTGCGCAAAATTCCAATGTTCCTACCAGCCCACCCTGCAGGGACCTGTTATATATTTTATATAATATATATTTTAATATATATTATATTTTAATATATATTAATATACATTTTTTATTATTTTGTTTCCCTTCTGCGTGACTTTACCGAAAGAACCAAGAATATGAATCCCTGCAGTCACGAAAGCTTTAAATCAAAATTTAAAACAGAATGAGAATATTTATGAAAATATAATAATATGCGTTTACCCTTTCTGGCAATAAAACAACGTTAAGATGTTCAAGCAGCAAATTGAGAATATTTATGAAAAGATAATAATATGCGTTTACCCTTTCGGGCAATAAAATATCGTTAAGACGTTCAAGCACCAAATGGAGACCCTTTGCAAGGAATGGAGTACTACGTTAACCGCACGTACTTGTGGTGAACATGCAATCAGAAATCGTTGTGTACGCGTTGACAGTGCTGGAGGAATCCGATGAGCTATAAAGCTCCTTTTTCACAGGCGTTCCAGTAGGGGCTCATAAGAACAACACATTCAAAATAATTAATAAGGGGTACAAAGTTTATGAAAGGTAAACAAATCAGTTTAAAATATACAAACAAAACTAAATTACATGTTTATTTTAATTTGACCAGGTAAAGTCCACTGAAGCAATAACTCATTTTTGAGAAGCGACCTGGCCACAATGTCGACAAACGAGAAAGAATCCTCGATCTTGATGTGAGCCAATCAAAAACAGGGGAGGAGGGTTGGGCGTGTCACAGCACGCTATACCAGCCAATGGGATTACTCGATCCATGGATCTGTTGGCAGTGGATCGACACAGCGATTAACCCGTAAATTATAAATTAAACCGGTATTTTGAATGTTTATTATATTGTTGTGGCAATTTCTACATTAAATATAATATTTTGTTCTGATATCCGTTTTTATGGTAAACTTGATACCTAGTGTCCGATTTTTTGTTCAACTTTATTCAATGAGTGCATATAAAGCAAGTGGTATTCTTACGTCCCATTGTATATTGATTCTGCTCGCGTGTACAAATTGTGGGGTAAGGAGTTTACTCCCTCGCTCTGCAGAACTTATAAGTACTGTATAGTTTATATGCATTTTTTTTAAACACAGGCCTTTTGTCAATCTACTGCTGGATGAAGGCTTCATCTCGACTTCCCCCGACCCACCACCTCTCCAATTCATCATCAGCAACATCGGCCAGGGTCTCTCCACCGCTGGATGAATACCTCACTCCCTTAGCCCCCCTCTCTAATTCACTATCAACATCAACCAGGGTCTCTCCACCGCTGGATGAATACCTCACTCCCCTAGCCCCCCCCCCCCTCTCTACATCTTCAGCCAGGGTCTCTCCACCGCTGGATGAATGTCTGCACTCCCCCCCCCCCCCCCCCCCTGTTAAAATCCCGGGGTTTAAATTTTGATTCAAAGCTTTCGTGACTGCAGGGATTCATATTCTTGCTTCTTTCGGTAAAGTCACGTAGAAGGGAAATAATAAAAATATAAAACAATAAAATTCTCACGTTTCGACTGCAACACAAGCAATCATCATCAGGTGTGAAAACCACAGCATCAAATTTTCTTGCTGTTCTTTATTGCTTTCTATTTTTTTATTTATTGTTTTATTGTTTCCCTTCTACGTGACTTTACCGAAAGAACCAACAATATGAATCCCGGGGTTTGTTTCCGTTTGGCGACGTCACGACGAGCCAACGTTTGTCGCGCGCTGCCATTGGTCGAAGGCGCGCGGGTTTTGAATTGTCGAGGGCGGGCGGTGTGGGCGGTGTGATTGGGTGGGCGGTGTGGGCGGTGTGATTGGGTGGGCGGTGTGGGCGGTGTGATTGGGCGGGCGGTGTGGGCGGTGTGGGTTGGGTGGGCGGTGTGGGCGGTGTGATTGGGCGGGCGGTGTGGGCGGTGTGATTGGGTGGGCGGTGTGGGCGGTGTGATTGGGCGGGCGGTGTGGGCGGTGTGGGTTGGGTGGGCGGTGTGGGCGGTGTTGGTTGGGTGGGCGGTGTGGGCGGTGTGGGTTGGGTGGGCGGTGTGGGCGGTGTGATTGGGTGGGCGGGGTGGGTTGGGCGGGCGGTGTGGGCGGTGTGGGTTGGGTGGGCGGTGTGCGCGGTGTGATTGGGTGGGCGGTGTGAGTTGGGTGGGCGGTGTGGGCGGTGTGATTGGGTGGGCGGTGTGGTTGGGTGGGCGGTGTGATTGGGTGGGCGGTGTGGGCGGTGTGATTGGGTGGGCGGTGTGGGTTGGGCGGGCGGTGTGGGCGGTGTGGTTGGGTGGGCGAGTGGAGAGTTTGGTTCACATATCACGCAAATGCCACTGATAAATCAGTGGCCCGGGTAAGCGAACGAGGTGATTGGCTGGAGCTAACCAAGTGCAGTGCGCTAACCACTTCAGTCACCGCTTCACGCGGTGAGAGCTTTTACTTCAAATCAAATTCGTCCATAACAAAGTGTTTTTTGGGGGTGGGTGGGGGGGATTGACGCGTTCTTAAAGTTGGGCATGTTGTAAGCAGCCGTGTTCCCGGGTACGTTGCATTTTCAAAGGTTAGTGTAAAGTGCCCATTAAATATGCAAAGCGTTTTCATGCCGCGTGTTGTTGAAGGCGCGCGGTTTTGAATTCTCGTTGGCGGACGAGGAGGGAGGGGAGGTAGCAGTGAGCTCATTGTGCACCACGTGGAGCTGCGAGTGAGAAGCCGGGGTGGGTGCATCGGCACAACCCCCACAACGCCTTTGCTCAATCCACCGCTGGATCCAAGGACTCTTCCCCAAAGAACAACATCGTGTTCACCTGCTCGACACGCGGGACGATGACACGTTGTTTTTAGTTTCTCGTCGCTCCGTCTAAACGCGCACGCCGTCATTCATATTCGTTGTTCCGTCTGCCGGCATTGTTAATGTGTTGTGCTTGCCCTGTTTTATTGCTATTATTACGTGTTGATTTTTTTGAATACCCTCTTTAAGCGTGGTGTTTTAAGTGCAAGTGTGTGCTTGCGTTGACATTTCGGCGATAATATATCACGTTCTGCGGCGTGTGCATTGAGGCATGCAGTCGGCGCTTTAAGCCGCTATAAAGTACAACTTAATCGTGAGTGTGTAAAGGCATCGCTTATTCACCAATTTGTGGAAACACAGTACGGTACTCTGTACACGTTGAAGTTAGGCGATGCGTTGAAGGGGGCTGTACGGACGAAACGACATCTAACACACGAGCAAAATCTCGATACGGTACCCTATTTGAATTAAATCGTGGAAGGGAAAAGAAATGTGGGTATTTTGTAATACGATCGGAGCAAATTGTGTGACTTCCAGGCCTTTGTTACTCCGCTGCCGAATTGAAGGACCCCCCACCCACCATGCCGTGTTTATAATTGGGGGTACTTTGACCATCCTCCACGCTGGTCATTTTGGGTTGTTGGTAAATGTAGGTTTGGCGGTGTGTTGGCACCGGTTCAGATATCACGTAAATGCCACTGATATCCGTGGCCCGGGGTATCGAACTCGGGTGGCAGAAGCTTACCAAGTTGCAGTGAACCCAAAATCGTCGTCGATGCCTTCTAAAGTTGGGCATTCGTTAAGCGCTGTGCGTTCCCAGAGCGTGTTGCGTTCTCAAAAGTAGTGTAAATGGTCCATAAAATAAATGTGCAAAGCGATTTCTTTTTTTACGCAACTTTAGTACATTTAAAATATATATTTAATGACTTGCCGAGTTGCTTGTAAATAAGTGGGAGATTGCGAAACCGGTTAACCCCCCCACGTGTCTGCGTGGTGGCCAGGAAATTCTAGTTCGGGACAGGTTTTATTGGATCAATCACTACAGAGCTTCGTTAATCCCGGTACTGCAAGTACAGTAATGCAATTGGGCAAAGTCTCTGCAGACTCGAGGTTTTATAGCTGGCCAAATAAATGGTATCATTATTATTATTGCTTATGACCAATTCAACCGTAATGCGTCCGGCCTCGCCATATTTTCGAAGCCGGTCGGCGGGGTTGTCCCACATTTATGTTGAACTTCTCTTGTACCGTACGATTGAGCAATGGTGATGCTCAGACGAGCAATCGAGCCATGTGCGAAATTGCTGCTGCTATATTCGGCGGGGTGATGCGTTGTGGGCAACGAGACAAGGCAGCAACATCTGCAGCTGCTCTGCTCACCCCACCACTTACGCTCCCAGCCTACATTTAGCAGTGTGAAGTGTCCATATCTGTCAACCCAATACGGTTTATCCCGTACTTTTGTACAGGGAATTGAGTGTTCAGGTCCATACGGCGTACAAACTTTTCAATACGAGGGGGTAAAGAAAAAAATATATATCTATTTGGGTTTCTCCCTTGGGACGGGACTTTTTAGGATGAACGTTGACATTTTTAAGGGCACGGGGTGACCAATAAGGTCTGAATTGGTCTGTGATAAGGTAGACACTGATAATGGGTTGACAGGTATGAGTGTCTAATAATCCGCATCGCGTGGGAAGCCCCCCCCTTCCATCCAACAAGTGCATTGCAATACAGTACAGGATCAAATAACCATGTATACGCTCGCCTGGTTATAGTGATAAAAGGTCATCGAAGGTTCAACGTCATTTTGTGTTTGCTTGCAGCTGTTGCCAGCCCTGCAGCGATGGCGAACAGGATGACGGTGTCGTCTCTGCTCAGCCTCTTCGACCAGATCGTCAGTCAAATGGAGCTGCTCAGCTGCGGCATGGAGCCCGGTTCGTCGTTCCCCCTAAAGCTCTTGAGACCAAACAAGATCTGTTGCAGCATGCACAAGTGCCGGCAAATGTGCTGGTTCGACCTTGGCGACTTGGGCGGTGGTTTCAGCCTAATTCCTGATGTCCCGAAGCATTTGTGAAATTCTGGATTGGGTACGGATGGAGGAGGGCCTGACTGCCAGCTCTCGGCCGTGCGTCCAAGCTGAACCTCTGGGAAATGTTGGTAGCTTTAAGCATTGCACATGCAGCACGTGGCTGATGTGGATGTATGTGTGTTGAACTTCTTTCACACCGAACGTGGTCACCCTACTAATTGGAGGTGTGGGAATGGAAAAAAATATGGAGTGAAATCTTATATCAGCTGAACTTACGTGTCATCTTGGGAACGCAGTGTACGAAATGTGTATTATTTGTGCTCTTGCAACGCACCATCACCTAATTGTACGAGCTTATATTGGCCACCAGGTGTCATGTATGACCCAGCAGAGGAGGTGGCACTGTCATGAACCCTGGCGAAGCCGAGTAGGCACTAATGTTGTTCATCCTGGCCCAATGCAGGAATTAGAAAGGGACTTTCTCCCTAGAAATTGTAAATTCCTGGAGTTGGCTTGCATGTTTATTTTCTTTAAAATATAGTTGGTTGCCTCTACCCACATGCACCTCAAGGCTTGACTGGAACCTGTTATACATGATATGTGCCTCTGGCTTGTCCAGTGTATTCAACAAGCTATGCCAATCAGCAGTAGCGTGCCCGCAGTGTTTTCCTCCGGCCAAACTTGTTAAGTGATGTGTGTGATTATGACTTGGCTGATTATTTGATTTTGATCATGAAAGCTGGGTGGCAGAGACAAAGTGACGGAACTCTCGCATGTTCTTTCGACACATCCAGAGTTTAATGTATGGCTCTATTGCACTCTCACGCACATGACCGAGTGAGGAGGCCCTCATCCAGCAGTGCATTTGCAAAGGGCTGTGTATATATATACATGCCTTTGTTGTTTGTAAAACAAATGTATGCGGGTGTATTTGGGGGCTGTGATTTGGCCTATTGGTTCCATGCTTGCTGTTTGTTGCAGGGGTTTGCTGTGCAATCTCAGCAGCTGCCCTGGTTAATTCTATGGGTGTATTCAGCAAGGATATTCGCTGTCTGCTTCACAGTCGACGTTAAAGATCCTGTAATGTTTTATAGATATAAAAAGGAGTGTGCCTTTCCTGCCATTGTCAGTCCACATTTGATAAGTTACTCATAAATTACTTGGCAAAGGTCGCATATCAACATCGTACTGACAAACTAATGTCCGCTTGCAGCCCAGTGCTGCATTCACCTTGGGACAGCTTCCACCAGGGGTCTCCTCAGCTAGACTGTGTAGCAGGGGCATCGGGCATGGTTGAGATGAGATGTGAAACGAGGCGCTCGGGACTTGCCGAGCCATTTTTACCTCTCCGCACCTTTGCTTACGGCTGTGACGCTCGTGCAGAGTTCATACAGCTTGCGCGCAGCTTCCAGGAGTTCCAGGTTCGCTCGCAAAACATGGGGCGGGCGCTCGCTGCCAGGGAGGAGCAGCTTTCTCAGGCTGAGGCGGAGCAGAAAGCGCTCGAAGTGAAGCTGAAGCACGCGCGTAACCAGGTGGACGTGGAGCTCAGGAGGAGGCACAAGGTGGAGGCCGAGTGCGAGAAGCTGGTGAGCGCACTCCTTGCGAGGGAAGAAATCGGCTGCTGGACGCCACGGTGGCGAGACGTTAACTACCTCGCATGGTATACAGGAGGTCGTAGGTTCAACCCTAGCACCTCTGTTTTTTGGAGTTTGCATGTCCTCCCTGTGGCCGCGTGGATTTTTGTTACGTAGTTTAGTTTTGGGGGATTGGTGTTATGAGAGGCTAGGAGAGGTGTAGATTTTTGAGCAAGCCCACTCGTGGTTCAGCCACCCAGTGAGGGAAGAAGTCGTGTGGTGCAAGTAGGTTTGGTTAGGTGTCCACACATCCCAACCTCGCGCTCCACCCATATGACCCTGGTCATTTGCGCTCGAGACAGGATGCCGCTTAAGACCTAAAAATGTAACTTCTACGTGTACACGTTACATGCTTTGTCAATCCACTGCTGGATGAGTGCCTCCCCGTGCATTGCAGGTTGCGGGGTTATTTGACCATACTTCACGATGGTCCGTGCAGGTTGCTGAAGACAGGGAGCATAGACGGAGTAAAGTACAGTATAACAATTGTGTTTTATGCACTGCCCTTGGCTGAGAATGTTGCTCCAGAGCAGCCTTATAACACCTGCATCCAAGCACTATACAGGCTCAACACCTGCTTAGCTTCTGAGATCTGACGATTTCGAGTACACTCTGGATAATTTGCTTGCAAGCGTAAACAAAAAAACAGCTTCCCAAATTCCAGTTGCGCCTAATCAAATAAAGTTAACACGATTACACATTTCACTAATCTGATTCTAATGATTGTAATGCATGAAGACTTGGATTTTAGAGTTATTGTGGACTCGAGTATGGTTAACTGGATAGAAACTATGCTTTTCCTTCAGAGAGCTGGAAACATACAGAATTGATAAGTTTTTCTGTGGCATAGTCTTAACACAAGTTTGCATGGTTGCCTGTCCGCAGCAGAGTCAAATGCAGTTGGTGAGGGAGGTGCTGATGCAGGACTTAAGCGAAAGCCGTCTGTTCTTGAACGAGGAGCAGAGAACCGCACTGGGCTTCCTTAGTGGATGCGGCCCGACTCCCACCACTCGCAAGTCGCATGGCAGGTCGGTCAATATGTCACGGCCGCAGTTATGCATCAGCCAAAGCACCTGGGTTTTAAATTAAATTTAATACGCAAATCGATACTCTTGTCGGTTAAGTTAATAGAGGAAAAAGTAAATGGCTCTTGAAATTGAAGCCAAGACATTAAGGAAACCACTAATCTCATTCTTATCCTAATTAAACCCCCCTTTTACCTGATTTTCCCACTGAACATCCTTGCAGCATCATCTAGAAAATCTGGGTTTCGTGGAGGAAATCTGTTTTGTGTGGGGGAATTTTTTGTGTCGATAGCACTGATGGCCATGCACTTTTTGATAATACATCACGTCGTTTGTGCTTGACATCCTGAGCTGGTATCTGTCATCACGGTAATGGCTTTCCTTTTTGCAGGATGTCCGCAATCAGGGAGTCGGTGCTGTCTACATCCATGATTTCCGAAATCAGTTATGATCACACAGACGATGACTGGGTACGTGCAATGCCTCGGTTAAAACATCGAGTGTCGGCATAACAAAAGGACAGCCGTTTTATTTGGTGGCAGAATGTTCACGAGAACAAGGAGCCAGGGAATTGGTGTCTGTTTCAGTGATGCGGTTAAGATGTGCATTGCATTGTTTTAAACTGCATCTAGCAGTTTTGTGTACTAACTCACGGACAAGGCTGGTGCACAATACTCTGTAAGAGTAGATCAGTGAGAGGGTGGCAGTTCGCAGCACATCTGCTGGGGCATCCCAGGTCGTTCCTGCAAGTTCTATAGCAGGTGATTCTTGATTTGGTCTTTTTACAGATCTGTTTTACATGGGGCTTCGAGGTCAGGTTTCTATCCATGATAATACCTATATATAATGGAGTGGGGTCATAGTACACTGGGCTATCACAGAAGGACTCATCAAGGGTGGTGTCTGCTGCATGATTTGTTCAGGTGGAAAGCACTTGTGGTGGTTTTAGAAGTATTTGGTCAGTCTCCAGCTACGGAAATATGCCTTTAACATTGCTGTGCCAGTTTTCTCTTGATGCTGGAATCCAGATTCTATGAAGGTGGTGAAGGCAACAATCTGTTTTCATTAGCTATGGCCAGTTCGAAATCTGGCTTGTTCAGGAGGCAGCTGGTGAAATATGGTTATGTAACTGCCACGACCCGTCCACCATGGAAAAAGCCCTCATCCACCAGTGGATCAACGACAGGGCTGTACATGTACGCCCATCTTTCCAAGTGGATGTGGAACTTTTGTGAACCTCTCCGCAGCTAGGTGTGGTGTCTTGTCTTGCGAGTGCTAATGATTCTGATTCTGGTACATGCAGGATGCTGACACTACACAGAGGGTTGAGCAACGGGCAACGAGAAGAGAAAAGCGGGTAAGGAAAATGCAGGGGATGATCGTGTATATGCCTATAGAGCTGGGACGATTCGTCAATTAAGTTTATTAATCAGCTAAAAATTGTGGTCAACTACTTTTTTGTGGTTAAACATGCCCCTTTAAAAATGGCGACCACCTCAATATCCTGCTTTCCAATGGTGGGAAACTCCCTACAAGCCATGCCCATCGTGACGAGCCGATGATGTTACAAAGGCCTGTCCATCACCGAGCCAGCTGTACATGGGAGGAAAGAGGTGAGACTTTTTTCCACAATTGTTTTTCATGTTATTTGATTAGTTGCGTAATTGAACCAAAAACCTGTAGAGTAATCCATTACTTATAAAATCAGATAGCCCAGCTCTATATGCACACATAAACCTGTTGGGGCATGCTTATGTTCAATGCAGTCTGAATATATTTTATTGCCTTCTTAATTGAGTTATTACATTAATTATGTATGGAAATGTCATATAATATCCCCTCGTGCATTTTACAGCTGGCTGTGGGAAGGTAATGAGGCATGATTCATGTCTGGAGAAAGCCATTTATACATCCCTTGGTATTCGTTTGTATATCTGTCTAAAGTATGTGACTTGTTATCCTCTGACCCCAATAAAGCACTTGGTCCATGAGAGCACTTAACTGCCTCACTTCAGAAAATGCCATAAATTCCTCATATGACCGCTGCTGTCTCAGTGCACGTGAGGTCTGAAACATGGCCTGGAATTCTTGCATCTTCCACCAGAGGTCTCTCGGGGTTGGGCATCCAGAAGTGTGGACCATGCAGCCCAAAAGGTCCTGCGTGCCTGGAGAGATGCCCACAGCAAAGGCATTCAGTGACAAGGTCACACCACTTTACTTGTTTGGTTAAAAAAATATGCCTACTGGAGCACACTTTTCAACGCTCATGGTCACATTTTAAGAATAATCGCAGGCCGAGTGACTCAGCAGTTTCGAGAGTACGGCTCGCATTGAGAAGGTTGAGAGTTCAAATCCTGGTCAGGGAGTTGATCAGCACATCATCCGTCCAGGATCTATAAAGCGAGTCAGTGGGCTCATATCAATTGCACAAGTACGCTCGCCAATTCCACCACATTTAATGTATTAGAATTACATTTATGTTCAAATTCTCCTGCATTCCATTTGCCTAAATATTTTCCTTGTTTTGTTGTTTGCTGCCCCCGACTTGCATAGATAATTTACCAGGGTGAGGAGACGGATCTGAACCTGACGGGGCTCATGCTGGACACTGACAGGATCCAAGCTGACCCCACGCAGCTCAGCTTGAGCGTGGAGATGCTGTCCAGGCGCCGGACGAGCCGCGGCAGACGCCTCTCCGCTCTCATTGGTGCCCACCCGCGCTTCCCCACTGTGGGCTTGTCTCTAAAGTTCATTGTGGGGGCGGTGACATGGTCTAATGGGGCACTGTTCAAATCCAGCAGCCGCCCCAATTAATCACTCACAATGAAAGCCACTGTACATGCAAATTACGCAATTGGGATTGTACAGAGCAGCCATTTCCCCCTACTGCAAAAAAACCTCGGTAGGATCCTCCCGGTATATGTATGTGTGTTCAACTTTTTACGCATCGTATGTAGCCAACCGTGCTAATCGGGGGTGCGGTATATATAGCTGTGAGACTTTCCTGGATGACGGCCATATCTCTATCCAACTGTGAAGCTTAGTTGAAAATATTCAAATATTAGATGAGATTCGCAATGGGCTTTGTGCCCTTCTCCAAGCTCATTGTCATCCACTAGTTTTAACACTTTCCAACTACGATTGTTGAAGTTTATACATTAGCTCCCTCCGTCCATTCATACATAACGAGGTGGGCCACCACAGATCCAATATGAACAAACCTGTTTAATAAAGATGTTTTTGGGCATGTACCCTAAAGAAACCTGGACATGGGAAATTTTTGTCCAAATTTGGAAATGCAAGTCGCCTAAAAAAAACGAATTTCAACTATACAAATCCGTTTTGCCCTGACAACTAACTACCTGTTTGTTGGTTTCCATACATATAATTAAACATTTCAGAAGACAAATGCATATTGGAAAGTGTTACTCAATTATTCTATATGCATGAGTCATGAAATAAATATTTTTCCATTTGGAACCATCGCATCTAGCTGTCGACCAAACTACGTCAGAAAATCGCACCAACGAGAATCACACCATAGTATATCCCTATAAACATTGCTTAATGCATGTCAATGTAAATGGATTTATTTTTTTAATTCTCACAGCTGGTAAAAATTAATTTAAGTAAAATCCACATTTGAGGCAATGGGATTTGTGTAATGCATTCATTGGTGACTGACAATTCGCTATACTAATCATGGTTGGGGTGCCTGGATCCAAACCCAGGATGTTGGTGGGGCCGGCTACCTGACCACCTCATGCTCGTCTAATTTCTAAAGTGGGGTCACAACTTTGTCGTCGTGGCAACAAAGATGGACCAATGCATGGGAAGTGCGCTGTTAGTACCATCCCTGTTGCTTCGTGCACACGCTTGTCCTGTGGTCAGTAGTCGAATCATTGATCCTCAACTAAAAATGTTGTGAAAGGTTTATCTAGTGGATTTATTGCTATTCTTATGGAAAGTTGTAAGCTTATGCAGCCCATTTTGTAGGTTTTGAGCAGTGTGCTCCTGAAGATTATACTACATGTATTTCAACTTATTGCACGTAATCTGCATGAAGATGTGGACATTAATTATGGTGTGCGAGGATTACAAACACACATCTCTCCATGCCTCTTTCTAAACTTTTCAGCTTTTTTTTGCCATATTCTTTGCAAGTGTTTTTTTTCTGATCCATATGTGTCATAGCAGGGAGTATACATTAATGAAAAACTTCCTTTTTCAGACATTGGTATGTTGCTTTCATCATTAAGGTAAGTTTTCCAACAACACTGTTCTTGTCAGGCTGCTGTATTTTAAATTGTATGTACAAGTATTTCATCCATCAACATCTCGACGCAAACTTCATTGTGTGTGATAGAGCAATCCACCATGGAGAACTGTGGAGGGGAAACCTTGCAGGGCACTGTGTCCATGCTGTCCACGGAGTTGGAACGACAGCACTCCTTTGTCCCCAAAACGGTACGCACTCGATGCAGTATTTGTTACAAAAGTGTATCCAGATCGGTCGTGCAGCTTGTGGAGTTGCATACACGTTTTTGTGGCTTGTGTAAAATTTTGGAAGAAATGACGACAGCGATGTAGTCGGAGGCCAATGAACGATCCACTGTGGCTGTCGGGCATGCAGTGAATCACCGCATTCGCTCTCCTCCCAGTGAATCGGTGAATTATCACAATTTGGGGTTGCAACTCAAATCGGCCCAGAAGCGACACAGGTTCACATTTTGAATCAAGCAGTCACCATAGTTATTACTGCGGGTGTATACACCGTAAAAGTACCTGCCATCTGCTTCACATTGAATGTTGAAGATCCCTTGCTGTCATTTGCAATAGTTGGCCAATATGCGTAGGTGCTATGGATACATTTTTTAATATTACCTACAAATTGCTCAACTGGGGTTGTTAACGGCAATCATCGCGACTCGAGTCGTAAGATTTGGTGTAGCTTCAAGGCTCCATTATTTTTAAAAACATTTTTACCGCTTGTATTTATTTTCTTTTTTTCTTCTAAACTTCTATTGGCTCATTTTAAATGTAACAGCATATAATCTAGGTACCTTCAGCTTAAGAACCAATTTAATTCATGAATTGATGCTTCGCTACGGGTCTGCCGGCCATGCACCATTTATGGGGGGCATTTTTCCTTCTGTTTCTCTGTCGCCGCTGCGGCCGCCGGGGTCACAGGTCATAAAGCCAGAGTCGTGTGTGCCGTGCGGGAATAGGATCAAGTTCGGCAAGTTGGCACACAAGTGCCGCGACTGCCGCATGGTGGCGCATGCGGAGTGCAGGGAGCACTGCCCACTCCCCTGCGTGCCACGCCCGCTGGCATCGGCATCCGCCCACCCCAGAGAGGTGCTGTGCCATTCCCTGCCACCTCACAAAGAGTACCCGTCTCGTAAACAAAAATAACTCTGACTCGCATTCATTCTCAGCTGCTGGATGAAGGACTCCCCCAACCTGTTGTCATCTCTCAGAGTCTTGCGATGCAACAATCCATCGGGCTCTTGCACGCGAGCTTATTTCATCGCTGCATATCTGCGCTTGACATTATCTGGATCGTGTTTTATCCTTTATTCAGCTTTTTCTCTAACAAAGCAGTGTTCTCATTCCCATTTACGAGATTCATTACTGTATGAGATATCAGTCGGTTGATAACTTTCATTGACAACCAAGTAAGATATTAATTCATAAATAATAACGAGCAGCAGTTGTATTATTGTTGTTGGAAGGGTTGTTTGTAGGCACATGTAAATAAATAATATATAAAACAATTTAAACGCGCTTTAATGAAATGTACCGTACTAGTAATGGCAGAACTCCTCGACTCCAGAAAGTGGCCCCGAAGCTTGCCATGACGTAAGGGGCGTGGTGATTTACGGCCAACGTCAGTTGAGCGTGGACAATTAGAGCTAAGCCGAAACATAACATAAAAAAGATTGTTTCAAAATTTTTATTTTGAATGATAGAATATAGTATTGTCATCAGTATGACATAAGTATACCAAGTTTGCAGTCGATACCACATTGGGAAGTGGGTAAACATTAAGTTACAAGATTTGAGGATATGACAACAACAACAGACAGTGGGTTAATGGAAAGCATGTAAAAAACATTGTTTAATTTTTTTATATTAATGATAGAATATAGTATTGTCATCAGTAAGACATACGTATACAAAGTTTGCAGTCGATACCACATTGGGAAGTGGGTTAAAATTGAGTTGCAAGCATTGAGGATACAACAACAGCAGACTGAGTTATATTCTTGGTTCTTTCGGTAAAGTCACGTACGTGACGTACGTGACTTTACCGAAAGAACCAAGAATATGAATCCCTGCAGTCACGAAAGCTTTAAATCAAAATTTAGACGGTGAGTTAATAAAAACCGTGTAAAAAAGGTAAAGTTGCAGCCCTGCAATTACCTGAACATGCCACTGCTGGTGGAAAGGCTTCCACTAAAAGGAGCTCTGGAAAGTCCCTCTTAAGGATATTTAGCCTACTCTTCCACTCTGACCAGACATCTTGTAAGAAGTGAGAGTACTCGCAATTTACCCCCTCCACGCGAGAGCTGCCGCTTGAAGAACTGTGGTGTGCCTATCCATATATATACTGCTGGATGGAGAGGTGGGGGGCATTTAAGAACATTTCCCATTCTGTCAACTACCACGCAGGAATATGAAATCGAACTCACGATCTCTTGATTGCAACTCAATTGTGCTAACCATTACACCGCGGCAGGATCCCAAGTGCACGTATTTCTTTATTTTAGGGGACCGTTGCAGACTTCTCGCCACCAACTGCGCCCATGATCCCATCTTTGGTGTTACACTGCGTCGATGAGATAGAGAGGAGAGGAATGATGGAGGTGAGATGCATGATGATCCTTACGCTGCGCGCAGTCTATTGATCACAGAATTGACTTAACAGTTGTAAGTAGATGCCATGGTTTTATAATTATGAAGGCAACTATATATTCTTGCAGGAACATTGATTTCTTAGAAAATGGGGAATGGATTGTGAGTAAATGACAAACCAAATTTTTTTCTGGGATATATTTTTATAATACGATTGACCTTTATACCAGGGTAATTTACCTTTCTGCATCACTCTCCAGAACCATACAAATGGAACACTCCATGGTCCCTACCTATTGCTGTGATACTTAAGACAACCAATATATAAAAAAACATAATACAGCATATACAACATATATAACAAGTATTGAACAGCCGGGTAATTATAGCATATTTTGAATAAATCTTGGCACCATGGAGCAGATGTTAACATTCACCAATCATAAGGAGTTGTCAGTGATTAACACCTTAATTTCAATGGAACATTTATAAAAGCATATTATGATACATCTCCGTGGGATAGCATCGTTAGCATGGGCCCTGGTGCAAGAGATGAAATGGGGCCCCTTGACCAGTTTTCCCCCTCTTCACAGCCTGGCACCTGGTCACCCTCCAGCCAGTGGGCTGAGGTGTAGTGCAAGGACAAATATCCCCCTTATAGCCTTAACAAACTTGGGGCAAATGGTGTTAGCGAGCACCTATGAAAGGCTGGGTGGGTGGCCAGCCCCACGCCTGGCCTTTGTCCCCCTAGTGAGAATGTTTACACATTGCATCAGGTACTCATTTGAGGCTGAGTCGACCTCGGGGATGCCCAGGATCGCTTCAGATATTATCGTCACTGGTGTTGAACTTGAGTTGTAATCGAACCCAGGTCGCTGGGATCATAGCACGGCCCGCTAACTGCGATGCTACCGCTCCCCTACTGAATGCATTGCTCTCATATACACACACACACACATCCTTTAACTCTGCAAGCAAATCCGGCGGTTGACACTCGTGTCCACTTGCAGGTGGGCCTGTACCGCATACCGGGTAGCGACCGTGATGTGAAGGAGCTAAAGGAGCGCTGGCTGCGAGGGAAGGGCCTCCCCGCGCTGGCGCGTGTGGACAACGTGCATGTGGTGTGCGGCCTCCTCAAGGACTTCCTCCGCAGCCTCAAGGAGCCGCTGCTCACGCACCGTCTGCACCACACCTTCCTCAAGGCCATTGGTCAGTGGTTATCGTGCTACGCTGTGAAACTGGCGACCGATCAATATATGTTTTTCTCCCAGGTCAAGCCCGCTGAGCTATACAGCTCTTTTTCAGAAGTGACTTGGCCACAAGTGATAGCTCAACGAAGTGGCTTATGTGGAAATTATAGCAGTCAAATACTTTAAATGCATGTTCCGAAATGTGGAGGGGAAAGACTGGAGACCCAGAGAAAAATCCATGCGACCAAGGGGAGAATGTGTAAATTCCAAATATGCAGGCGTCAGGGTTTGGATCGATCCCACGACCAGTATACCAGGCGAGGTAGTTAACATGTTGCTACCGTGGCACCCCTAAGTTGGATTCCTGACCAAGGCTAATATCAATTGCGACTGATGGTAATTAAAGGGCTCTCATCAACTGGAAGAGTGATCCTCAGATAACCAGAGAAAACATCAACAGATTCTTAATTCCTTGCAGGACCAATCTTTCTTGGGATGTTTGGCCAGGTGCGTTTTTGAATATTTTATGCATAGGGGATGAAATCCAAAATACCAGAAAACATCCACGCATAAAGTCATATAAATGTATAACTTTTATGACGAAGGATAAACCCATCGGCATGGAATGGGAATGCAGTCGGTGCACTGCCCTCTGGTCCCCAGCCATGATGAACGTCAGTGGTGAGTAATATCTGCTCAGGGCTTGGGTTACTCCCTTAACCAACCCACACTGACCAGTGTGGTCAAATATGGTGAAAAAAAACCCCAGGACTAACATTGCATGTGAGGAGGCCTTCATCCAGCAGTGTATCGTCAAAGGGTGGTATTATAATAGCATCTAAATTGAATGTCATTGCAAGATACTTTACAATTCGAAACAAAAAAAGATAGAAAAGATATGGGGATGGTCAGGACAGGGAAACATTGAAGGTTAAATTAGTTCACGACATCCTTGGTCGCTGGCTGTAATCACATCATTTTTTAATTAGAAAAGTGCTCAAATGATGGGGGGAGGTTATTGTGGTTTGTTTGAAACTGTCGCAACTGATGTATATCCTCATCATGGGAAAAGGGTGAGATGATTTAGGTACTAATTTAGCCATGTCACTCTGAACTGGCACCGCTGACTTCCTTGCCAGGTTTCAGCCACCTGTCGTTAAACATTGTACATAAGCAGACAGACACCTCCTTCCTACATGTCCTCGACATAAAAAACATAAAAGTTATTTTTACACATCCCGTCAGTCGAGACACATAAAGCAATGCACCATAGCCATTCCGTCGTGCATGTAAAAATCAGTTTGTCCGAGTACGTATGACGCCATGATATTGTACGACTATCTTGAGCGTCAAGAATGGTGGACAATGTGTTGTTTTTCCTAAATTGTAGTACAATCGTAATTGATTGACAATATCTTCAAATACAAAAAAAAAAAGTTACTTCAATATTTTACAGATGAATACACGTGTATTGTGTCTGCAATGTACGTGTGAAATCGTGGAACTACCCACCAGAAATTTCAGACGAGGACAACCGCGCGGCAGCAATGTACGGAGCCATCGGGCAACTCCCACAGCCAAACCGTGACACCCTGGCCTACCTGATGCTGCACCTGCAGAGGTGAGGGCCGCATCTCAAACTGCCACTGGACATGACGTACTGGATACAGCAATTTTTTGTGTTTTATTTTAAGGATCATTGAATGCCTCGTGTCGTGGTTTTCACACTCGCCTTGCAATCCAGGGGTCGCCGGTTCGATTTATGGGTGCGGCATTTGAAACGATGGTGCAGGTTTCTTAAATCCCCCCCCGCCTCTGTCCTCTCAGCACTATAGTTAGTCGATCGGCAGGTTGCATGTGGTGGGATAAAGTATTTAGCCAGTGTGGATGAGTAGGCTAGAATGCACTCTGCAGTACATCTACAACTCAAACCCGTGGAGACCCTTCTGCCAGCAGTGGCTTGGGCAAGAATTTGCAGGCTGCACCTTTACCCCATGCCACACACCTATATTAAATAAACCCTTCGCGTTGGTGTTGAAGTAAATGCTCTCGCTGTTTTGGTAGTGTAATTCCCAATTGTGGGGTTAGTCATGTTCATTATGTAACGTGAGTGGGAAGCCCGTTGAGATTTAACGCGAATGAATTATTTCGTGGAGTTTATTCACTCCCACTGCGATTTGATTAATTTAATTTGATGAATGAAAATTTCACAGTAAAATAATAATGATGTTTGTGTTATAATAATATAATAACAATGTCTAGCACGATAGTTAAACATTTTTTGGCAGTTGGGTATGACATCATTTTGTGCATGTGTAATGTGCTCGTGTAGTCCACTTACAATATCTTGTGAGCTCTTCATCCTTCGTACAATCATGTACAAGAATAACCTAACGCAATAATGTTAAAAGTAGATTGATGAAGCAAATGTAACAATTTCAAGAGGAGGTCTGTTGTATGATATTGCAACCGGGGACGTGTCGGTGCCAGTAAATAATAGAACAGACAAGCAACACAGGAGACGGTAAGCCGAATAATCTGGTCAAATGTCATATATTTTCAAAATGTCAAGCTTGTGCACATAAAATACATATCACAAGCTTTCAAATTACAATTCGGTCTTTGAAATTGGTGGCGCGCGGTCTCGGTAAGGTGGAGTATTCCAGACAGAACATATAGACCATTGGTTCTTCACCTTTCCTGCAGCCCTGCACTCTTTGGTTCTCAATCGTTAAAAAAAATGTTAATAATTACATCGATTTGATGAAACATAGTACAGGGTTAAATTTTGATTCAAAGCTTTTCGTGACTGCAGGGATTCATATTCTTGGTTCTTTCGGTAAAGTCACCACGTAGAAGGGAAACAATAAAATAATAAAAATATAAAACAATTAAATTCTCACATGAGAATTTTATAAAAATATAAAACAATAAAATTATCACAAACGAGAATTGTATTGTTTTATACTTTTATGATTTTATTGTTTCCCTTCTACGTGACTTTACCAAAAGAACCAAGAATACAAACTGCTTATCATTTACATGATATAGCTAGGAGGCTTTATTTGCACAAGAGGAAGATGCAGCCCCCTCAGTTTAATCCAGTGAGGCTTGTGTATTGGCCTCGCATTGCATTGCCATTTGCCTGTGGCCTGCTTTTACACCTTGCTTGTGAAGAGTGGCGGAGAGCACGGAGTGCAAGATGAATCAGTCCAACTTGTCCCGGGTGTTTGGACCGACGCTCGTGGGCCATGCCACTGCCAACCCCGAGCCCGTGGTCATCCTCAGAGACACGCAGCAGCAGCCCATGGTATGACCATCGCCACCGCCGTTTTCCTGCTCACTGACCCTGAGGCGTGAGGTCACAGGATGTAGATTACCTCTACAGGAATAAAAGGTGCTGCATGGAGGGCGAGGAAGGTGCTGGCACAGTGATTAGTGCAGTCTGCTATGAATACAGCAACCCGAGTTTGTCTCCTGCCCATGGTTAACATCACTAGCGAGTGGTATCTGAACTGGTTATGTGACCCCTACCCCCTTCAACCTGCAGTCATCAATATAGTGCAGTATGGTCAAACAACCCCATGAAATGTTGTGGAGAGACATTCATTCAGCAGGAGATTGACAAATCGTTGAAAATAATAAAATTGATAACATAGATAAAGGGCACCATAAATAATTCCCATGCAATGATTCATTACGGATACACAGCTCTTAACTGGGTGTGGTTCGTGGAGGGGTCAAGAAGTCATTGTGGCCAATAACGTTGATGCAGTTACAGCTTGCCAATGCTTCTTCCTCGTTCCCCAGGTGTGGCCCAGTCTACACTGACCTCCCAGGGTCTGCTCTTAAAATATTCCACCATAACCCCTTTTTGTCTTCCCGAGAAAAGAGTGCTCCAAAGTTGAGGGGGAATCTTATTCATGAAGTAGAGAACATGTTGTGAACGAACATTTGGGCGACTCTGAGACAACTTTGTGCACCAATGCTGCAGGTGGTGGACCACTTAATGTCGCTCCCGGCCGAATTTTGGCAGCGTTGGGTAACATTCACAACATTTGTGGACAAAGAAAACAACGACCGCTCAACGGCAGCCGTCATCTCCAATGCCTACGCCAGTGTCTGCACGCCCCCGTTGAAAAGCCGCTTCGGTAACGCACTTGCACTTCAAAGCAAATAATTAATCGCAAGCCGTGTTTCCATCCACTCGTTCTTTGGGTGCACCATGTGAAAATGTGATTGGATGTGTCCAACAAGAATTGAATTCAGCTAATTTCTTTTTTTAGATGCGATCACATCATTTTTCGATTTAAGGCTTTCGTGACTGCAAGGATTCATCTTCTTTGGTTCTTTCGGTAAAGTCACGTAGAATGAGAATAAAATAATAAAATAAGACAATAAAATTCTCACGACGTTTCGGCCACAACACAAGTAGCCTTCTTCAGGTGAAAGAACAGGTGAAAGAACAGAACTGTCGGGACGACAGTTCTGTTCTTTCACCTGAAGAAGGCTACTTGTGTTGTGGCCGAAACGTCGTGAGAATTTTATTGTCTTATTTTATTTTATTATTTTATTCTCATTCTACGTGACTTTACCGAAAGAACCAAAGAAGAGATCACATCATACCTAAGATCCACTCCTAAAAAACCCTTCATAGCCATTAATAACAAAAAAATGCAGCTGCACCATTGCACCAGATGGTTGGGAAATCACAAAACTGCACGGCATTTATCACGAGGCCTGGGAATTAAGAAACTGCAGAGTAAAAAATGCTGCAGGTTCATGTTATAAATATTGATGTTGTTTAATTAACTGCTGTGTTGTGCATCAGGAGGCAATTTGCTTGGCCCCCTGGAAATACCGGAAACATCAAAGATATCGCCCCAGACCAATCGCATGCACCTGAGCAAGATCCCGATCAACACGATGTGAGTTCGCTCACACTACCAATGAGTAGATGAATGGGGCCATCTTGGAGAGTACGTAAAGGTGGCACGCTCTTTTAATGCTGTGACATTTGCTTTTATTTCCTGCCAGGAATTCTGGAAAGAATAGGCCGATGCCTTTGGGGAGGAAGATCGGAAACTACTGGTCTTCTCCATCACTCACTTAAACTCTTCAGTCCCTGTGCACATCCATTAACGAATTCCATGGATGGACCTTGGCCTGGGACTTTGAGGATTGAGAAATTATGGATTGAGCTTCTGTTTGTGCTGCCATCAAATTAACAGCAAATAAATAACAATACTGATTAGTGAATATGGGATCCCCAATGGTGTTTTCCCTTTGCGTCACTCAAAACATGTGTGCTTAATGCCACTTGTGGTTCCTCGGCTGTGATTCATACAATACGTGTTTCTGTGCTGCCATTGTATATGATCAGATTTTGTGCTACAATATGCAGTGTCACGGTCAAGCCGAGATGTATGTAGTTCCTGCTCATTGTGTGCATCAAACACGGTGTGCACGGTGTAGCAAGTGCACACGTTGATTTGCTGGCAATTTTCACGTGTTGGTGTGTGCAGTGTACAGTTTGTATTGGACTTGTGTGTTGAAGTGATGTAGCAAGAGAGGGCACACTTTAAAAGATTAACTTTTTCATATCACGTTTTTCTTTCACATATAACAACTTGGAACAGTTTGTAGGTCAATGTATATATTGTATTAATAATTAAGTGTGGCTGTGTTTCAACCAGCTCAATTTTATAGCACGTCGCAAAGTATTGCCCCAATCACGTACTCAGGTGTTTGGTATCTTTCATCTGTTATTAAAGCACTCCGTACCCAGCGCAGGCAGAGGTGCCTCAGTTCGTGTTTTAAAATTAATGCACACAGAGCAGCACATTGGAGTTAGTCTGTGACCCTGAATTCCTAGACATGTTGCCTGTGAATGTTTTTTCTGTGTTCTATTTGACCGTAGTCTGTATTGTTTACACAAATACTAATACTTAACTATACTTGAAAATGGGGGGGGGGGGGGGGGTTAAACATAAAAGTTGGAATGTGAATACAAAAAAATAAAGGTTTTATTGGATAACCAGTCTGGCTAAAAAGTAGTTTTTTGTTAATTGTATTACTTTTAAGTTGACATGTTTCATCATCGTTATTGGACATGATCTGCCCACTGATTGAAAGCAAGCCTGCTCACGTGATTGTCACCTTTCATGGGCTTGTGATGCCATAAATCCATCCGTTGCTTTTCAAATTCCACGTTGGGCAGTCCCTAGCTTTGGCTGCCCCTTCATCGTTAGTCTCGATCAAGTGTTATAGGTTGACATGTTTAATTATTAACGTACACTGAAAAACGTCCTCGCTGGCCTAAATAACACCCGTTTAGTTTATGCCTAAGGCGACAGCGCTGCCATCAATTTGTGATGGCAGCCGATCCAGCGCCAACCTCCATCCTTGTTTGTTTACTAGATAGAATGACAAAATGTAATCGACAGAATAAGACAACAAATGTTATAGGTTCTCGACGAGATGATATGTGAAATTATGAAATGTTTCTCCGCCTACGTCTCATCAATACTGTTGTGTTGAACCACCATACATACTGAAAGTCAAAACGTCTCTTTTTGCTTATTCCCTTACACCTATCGATGTTTGCGATTCCCTTCCATCTCTGTTCGGTAATTGTAACCTTGTGCAAGTCAAGAAATGAATGAACTCATCGTAATGGGCCGTCCATAAATGACGTCACGCGATTTTTGACCCCCCCCCTCGTCACGGCGTCACAAAAAGTCAGACCCCCCTCAAATATGACGTCACAAAGCTCTGCCCCTCCCCTTTCCAAAACCATATTTTCATTTTGAAAATAAAACATGCTTCAAATCGCTTTAAACTATTGTCATTGTAGTGCGTATTTAATGTGTCGCTGCACCCTGATGTAGTAGGAGAAAACATTTATTAAAAAGTCTAATTAAGCAGAACGTGTTGTCTATATTTATTTTAAAGTTGCGCATTTTGATGTGACGTCACATCGTCAGAAATGCCTGCCCCCCCCCCCCCCAGAGGTAAGTGACGTCATTTATGGACGGCCCCAAATCTCTTTAGGCAACCTACTAGTTTCTATCCCTTTGGCGCTTTACGCACGTGGTTTCTGTGCTCGGTGATCGTTATTTAACAATGCCGAATGTATACTCGTGGCACCCACAGTGGCTAACCCCCTCTGGGTTGAACCCAGTTCGCGTGTTTTCGGAGGTGTATTGTGGTGTATTGTGTTTGCGTGTGTGCCACGTGTTCAAAACGTGGGCATTTATGGATTTTGTTGGAATGGCTCACGCGCCACGTACCGGCCTAGATGATTGCGTCGGCAGCATCATAAATCCCTCTCATTATTGCGAGAGCCGCCGAACAACAATGCGCCGCTGTCGACGCATCCAAACATTCGACGATACGTACTCAGCGCGGTGAAAATTTAAAGTGTTCACAAGTCGAAGTTTACAAATGCACTATGCGTAACGTGAACTACGGCAAGGTGAACAAGCGGATGTATTAGCACGGTTGGCTACGTACGGTGCGAAAGAAGTTCAACATTCCACATTTATAGGAATAGGTTTTACCCTTTTAACTGGCACAAAAACTGACACCTTTATTCAAGGCATCATGTTTGCAATAACCACAACACAAGCAGTCAAAATGCAAACAAAAAAGACAACTCTGATAATAATATACATTTATCTCCACATTCCCCCCCTCCTAGGGGACGTCCATAAATGACGTCACGCACCTGGGGGGGGGTCAGACATTTGTGACGATGCGTGACGAGGGGGGGGTGTTGAGAAATGTGACGTCACATCAAAATGCGCAACTTTAAATAAATACAGACAACACGTTCTACTTAATTAAATCGACTTTTTAATAAACGTTTTTTTTTACAATGTCAGTGCAGCGCCACATTAAATACGCACTACAATGACAATAGTTTAAAGCGATTTGAAGCATGTTTTATTTTTAAAATAGAAATATGGTTTGGGGGGGGGGTGGGGGCAGAGCTTTGTGACGTCATATTTGAGGGGGGGGTCTGACTTTTTGTGACGCCGTGTGACGAGGGGGGGGGGGTAAAAAATCGTCCAAAATCGCGTGACGTCATTTATGGACGGCCCCGAGGTTGCACACTGGGAAATCCTAGGATGGAATACGAATTGTACATTTGAATTATTGATTGAAGCTTTCGTGACTGCAACAATCCATACTCTCTGGTAATAATAATAAAAAAATTCTATCTACGTGACTTTACCGAAAGAAACAGAAGAGTATTTGAATTATTATTATTATCTCGGTGCTGTACACGCATATCTCTCTGTGTGTGTGCGTGTGTGTGTGTGTTCTCCCTCCGTCTGTATAACTCCGTGCATCTTGGAGCAACGCGCGACACACACACACAGCACTTGGGGATGGTCTTGCTGCTGGGGTCTCCCCCTCCCTCCCCCCGCTAGTCGCTGATCACGTGGCAGGGAAGAGGCGCACGCCGCATGCATGGCGGCTATGGGAGTGATGCGCTGAGCGGGCTAATGCGGTACCAACTCCATCAACACTCGCTCCTCTCCCCTGTCGCACGCACACACACGCGCATTGTACACGTCGCCGTAACGTGTGTGTGTTGTGTGGCGTGTGTGCGTATCGGACAACGAAGATAGCCTCAACCTTGGACGTTATTCTCAGCACGTGCAGTAGTAGCTTATGGTGTCTCCTATCTGCTCGTTCTTTCATTATTTTTTTATTATTCTTTTGATGGGGTTTTTTTTATTAGTGATTCGCCCGGATGCTACATTTGTTGCGTTCCGTCGCAATGCCGTGTTCATTGCGGCGGTCCGGCAGTAGCGCGCTGCGTTGTTGTTATACCCGAGTTCGGTTCGTGGTGGTCACGGCTCACATCGGTGGCATCTGAACGATACAACCACCACCTTCAACCATCGCGAAGTATGGTCAAGCGATGCCCGTGACCGACACGGCGTGGGGGATTCCTTCATCCAGCAGTGGACTGACCGAGGGCTGTGTGTGCCGGGTGTGGCTGATGTGCAGGGCGCCTGCTGTGCCTGTGGGCCATCTCCAGCCGGTAAGAAGTGTCTCTTCGTCTTTACGATGCTCATTGTGGTGTCGGCGAACCAATGGTAACGATTTCGCGACTCAACTCGGGTGCGCGCGTTATGTAAGTGGCGGACTATTCTGTTTTGAGTGTCAAATATAAAACATGCTTGACGACACGCGCTTCCGTGATATGTCTTAAGTCGTATTGAAAGTATTGCACGTACGGAGATGCGCGTGTGTACGTGGTACTGTATGCGTGCACGTGCACCGCGGGAGTCACGTGAAAAGCACGTGTAGTTGTGTACTGTACAATGCACACCGCTCAACCATTCAAACGCGCTGCGATTGGTGGAATACAACAATGCGTCTATTGCTGTGATCGTGCGCCGAAACAACACAGCAGTTCATATTCTTAGCTCTTTCGGTAAAGTCACTAAGAATATGAATTACTGCAGTCACAAAAAGCTTTAAATCAAAATTTAACACAGCAGTTGACAAACCCCGCCTTGGCACTCGCGTCGAAACGGGAACAAGAGCAACCCCCGTGCCTCCAGAGCTGCAGGGATTAGGTTTGAACAGCTGGGCGGGGGAGCATTTAGCGCTGATCTGTATTGGAGTAATTTGTTCATTCTGGAAGTTAAGCCGCGTGTTTACGTGCGGGCATAGAGGGCATAGACAGACGTGGCTGGAGTCGGTGGTGCAGTGGGTTGGCAACGCTGCGCTTCTGTATTAACCCGTTGACCCGAGATCGATTCCGAGACACGGAACAACATCAGCGGTGGATGACATCAGAAGCGGTGCTGCTGGGCTTAACCCCGTTCACCAACCCGCACTGAACAGCGTGGTGAAAACTGAAAAGTACGGTATAAAAGAAAAACCCCATTACTGACATCTGTTTTTCGTATTCCCCTTGCATGCAATGGATTCGGGCGACTCTTGCCGCCGCAACTTCTGCCGCAAAGTTAAACAAAATTTTCACCGATTCGTGAATAACATCGCCACCCTGAGTCGCGACAATTTACCAAGACGCAGCAGTGCCGGATTAAGCTCGTGCGGGGCCTGGAGCAAATGTTATAAAGGGGCCCCAAATTGAAAAAAAAAACACAGAAATATCAAAACACAAATTTGTAATTTGCATAGTGAAGTAATTGTATTTTTTCGTTTGCTATACAGCCAGATAATACGACATATCGCTAACTTTAAACAACCAGTCGTTCATAAAAGTTGAAGGCAGTATAGTACTATAGTAATAGAGCAAGTGCTGAATCATTGAATCGGAATTGATAGCTTGAAAGCATTTAGCGCGGGGCCCGTAACATATGCTACTCTTGCTACTAGGATAACCCGGCACTGCCCAGACGTCTCTCTGTGGAGCCGATGTGCAATGGGGCCGTCCATAAATGACGTCACGTACCTAGGGGGGGGTGGGTCAGACATTTGTGACGATGTGTGACGAGGGGGGAGGGGGATGAGAAATGTGACGTCACATCAAAATGCGCAACTTTAAATACATATAGACAACACGTTCTACTTAATTAAATCGACTTTTTAATAAATGTTTTCTCCTACAACATCAGAGTGCAGTGGCAAATTAAATACGCACTACAATGACAATAGTTTAAAGCGATTTGAAGCATCTTTTTTTGGGGGGGGGGGCAGAGCTTTGTGACGTCATTTGATGGGGGGGTCTGACTTTGTGACGCCGTGTGACGGGGGGGGGGGTAAAAAATCGTCCAAAATCGCGTGACGTCATTTATGGACGACCCCCGTGTCAAACCAGTAGGTGCGATGTTTGGATCACGAATGATGTGTTTATTCATGGCATCATTGCTGTGAATTGAATTGGCCAAACATCCCAATACAGGGTCCCTCTGAAAATAAATCTTGAGACGCAGCTTTTACCAGTTAAATATTGTGAATTGCTACGGTTGCCTTTACAACGCTATTGG